GGTGGGTGAGTGGATGCAAGGCTAAGGCCCGGCTAAGAAGCCGATGGTCACATCCGAACGACAGACTTGGTCCCCGCGGCCGCGAATTAGCCCACCCCACTAACCCGGCAGATGCAATCTCATTGCGTCGTCTCTCCTCACTCGCGAGGCATCTGCTGCTGCTGCACGCGCGCGACTACTCGCTCTACACTCCTCCATCTTTCTTCCACTCCATCCCGCACATCCGCAATGGTCGACTACCGCCTCCCGCCGCTAAGGCCGGGCTTATCCACCTCCCCATCGACCTACTCCCATTCCCGACCCTACTCGCATGAGCGAGACCGTGGTTCTACCGCCAGCGGCGACCTCGAGTCCAACCCCGCCGTCAGCCCAACGGCCTCAGTGTCCACACCGAAGAGCGAGTCCCGCCCCATGTCCGCCGTGCTTGCCGCGCTTGCGAACGAGGACGTAGAGTACACTGGCATCGTCCGTCCTCTCCGCGACGGCACCTACGACCGGAACGATCGGTACCTTCCCCCGCTTGAGCGGCTGGCGCCCGGCTCAGCAGGACCATCACGGGACTATGGGCCGCTGACAACGCACGGGTGGGAGGAGAACTACCGCAGCGTGCAGCCACCAGACGTGCGGCGTGGTTCGGGTGAGAGCGACACCAAGCCGCGGCACTACGAGAGCAGCAACGGCGGGTCAGCAAAGGATGCGGGTCCGAGCCGAGATAACGGAAGGAAGAACGGGAACGAGACCAAAGACGCAGCAAGGCCCGCTCCTGCTTCCCCGGAGGCTACGCAGAAGAAGAAGAAGCGCAAGGTCAACCCCGCCAAGCCCATGGAGCACATCCCTGAGGGCGCCGAGGTCGAGTATGAGCAGGATGGGGATCCTATGCGTGGACCTGTTTTTGTGCATCCGCCCAAGGACGCTGTACAGGCGTGTGTCCGCTGTCATCGCATCAAGCGCAAGTGTGACGGCGCGCGACCACGATGCAGCGCGTGCACGAAGGCGGATGTGCCTTGCGTGTTCGAGCTGAGTCCGGCAACGTCAACGTGAGTTCCAGCTCTCTCCGCTGTCTCCCCCAAGTCGTATTCAGCTGACCTCCAGCTACGTGCACAAACTGAAGAAGGAGCAATCCGACCTCCTCTCCGACCTCGAACTGGCACAAGCCCGCATAGCGCAGCTGGAGAAGGAGCTGCACGACGGGCCAGTGTTCACGACTGCGCCGCCCTCCGCAGACTTCCCGCGACTAGCCCGCGACGCCTTGTCTCTCCGGGAACATGCCCCCTCCACGAGCAAGACAGTGAATCACATCTCGGACCTACTCACGCACGAAGCGGCGCTGAAGGCGACGCACGACTACGTCGAGTTCTTCCAACTCGCCTACCCCATGTTCAGCAAGGAAGACATTGTGCCGCGTGTGCACGCGCTGTACGGCGAGCACGATAAGCGCGACACGGATCCGGACAAGGACAGGTGGAAGTTCATCGTGCTCATGATCCTCGCCCTGGGGACCGCGTGCGCCGAGCGTCTCGGCGACGTGGCGCATGCGGCCGGAAGGGGCGTCTTCGAGTTTGCGTGTCGGTATAGATCAAAGGCACTCGACAGGGAAGACTTAGTGAGTTAGCTGTGTCTTTTTCCAAACTGACATCAGCTCTGCGTCCAGGCCCTGTTGCTGCTAGAGATGTACGCGATGGTGGACCCGTCAGCTGTGTCCTTGTGGCAGACACTCGGCCTCGCCGGCAGAGTCATCGTCGCAATCGGTCTGAACCGGCGTGCGGAGGCCACAATCCCGATCGAGGTGGCCGAGAAGCGTCGGCGCGTGTTCTACTCGTTCTTCAATCTGGACCGAGTCGTTGCACCCGCCCTCGGTCGTCCAGTGACCATCGAGGACCAGGACATCGACATTGACGAGCCGACGGAGCAGCCTGGCGATGTGACATACCGCCAGCTGCCGCACGTCGTGATCACGAAGCATTTGATCCACTATCGACGTCTGCTTGGCGAGGCACTCCGCGTCGCCTACAGCATAAACGGGGAACAGAACAAGCTTCCCGAGCCAGAACGCAAGCAGCTCATCCTCGACTTGCACGAGAAATTCCAGCACTGGTACGACTCGACGCCGAGCTCAAAGGGCACGATCCCGCGCACAATCAACCACGCGCGCTGGTGGGAGGTGAACCTGAACCAGGCGCTGTGCATGATCTACCGCCCGTCACCGCTGTACCCGCAGCCGAACTCGTGGACGTTGCGCAACCTCTTTGTCGCCTCCTCCTCCTGCGTGGACCTGTACATCGAGCTCTGGAAACTGAACAAGGTAGCCTTCAATCTTGTCCAGATCATTGCGCTCTTCGTCGCGTGCATCTCGCTGCTCTGCTGTCTCTGCGAGTGTGACAGCCGCATGCGCGCCGCCGCGTCTCCAGCAGAACTCGAGACGATCCTGAACGAGCTCGGTCTGAGCCGCTTCCGCAATGGAGCCCAGGACGTCAAGTGGTTTGAGGAGATTCGCATCCGCGTCAAACAGTGCCAGGACCTGTTTGACGTGTTTGGGCGTGCGATCCCGCTGTCATCAAAGTATCGGGACATCTTCTCGCGCCTCTCTGAGGGGCTGCTGATGAGGGAACGAGGCAACAGCCGCGAGCTCCAACAACAACAAGAGCGAGAGCGCGAGAGGGAGCGGGAGCAGCGCGAGAGCAACGAGCGAGGTACCGGTCCCGCTCCCTCCTCCGTCCCCACCACCGATGCCCAAAGTACCGAGCCCAGCAGCGTGCTCACCGGCCTGCCGACGCCCACAGCCACGCTAGACTCGATAGAGGGCGGCGACCTCTTCCCTGCCCCCGTGGTGCCCGGCGTCGTGTCCGACTTGCCCCTCCCCGTCCTGCCGGATGAGGACATGGACCTGGCCGGCGCCTGGGACGCGATGGCGGCGCTCTGGGACCCGGCAGAGATGTTTGGAGACCGGCTCGGCGACTGGCTGCCCACGGCCGAGACGGGGCAGGAGTGGTGGACGAATATTGGCCGATAGGCAGCCAGAGCTAGCCCGAGGCGAAGCCGAGGGCGTGTGGCGGTGGTTGTGTCACCCGTGACGGCGAAAGGGGGGGAGTCACCTCGTCCAGCTTAGCTGGACCCGGTGATCGACCGACGATAGAAGGCAGCGGCAGTGTATCGCGTACATGTACATGAATGTATGAGTTTCTATGACAAACACCAGCGTCACTCTTGCGGCAAACTAGACTTGGGTTGGCTCTTGGACTTGGACTTGCGCTTCTTCTTTACTGGCTCTGCTTCAGGAGTTGGAGCAACGGATGCAAGATCACAGCCAGCATCACGAGCACGCTTCCCCGGGCTGTGGCGTAGGTGACTGGGGTCAACGTCGCCTTTCGTGTTGGATGTCTCGCGCTTGGCTTTGCAAGTACACACGCCCCAGTCGAAACTCTGCAGTGTCTCCAGGCCCAACTCGCAGGCCGCACGCTGGGCGAGTTGTGGACTCCGGCCCACTGCCCCGGCAAGCGGTACGCCGTGGATGGTGACCAGCGCGCCATAGCTGTCCTTCGTTCCCGCGCCCTCACCTGCCCCCGTGACTGCGGCACCGCCCGCGATCGCCGCAAGAGGTTCAACCTTGTCCACCTTGACCCCGTGGCACCCCGCCTTGGCCAGCCGCTCCAGCAACGCACTCTTCGGGTGTGGCTTTGCATTCTTGCTCTTCGGGTTCAGGGCGTAGGAGTCTATCCACCCTCGGGCCGGCTCGAAGAGAGACTTGCACAGGGCCAGAGACCCAGTGTCGTGGTAGATCGCGCCGAGGCGGGCTTCGAGAATGTCGCCCATGAACTGGGGTCAGCTTTACTGCTCCCGACACATAGCTCGAGCACCCCGTCTCATTCACCGTCAGAGTGAGAGGGTGGGGATGTTGAGAGGTCTGTATTTTCCCGGACATGAGCCGCGCTACGGGACCTGCCGGTCCCTCCGCGAATGCTCACCTTGTACTCTGGCACCTGGGACCAGAACTCGTCTACTACCCCGCCACCCTCGCGTCGCTTCTTCGCCTTGCCTAGGGCCAAGCTGACTTGCGCCGCGAACTGGGCCACGCGCTCCTCTTGACTCGGGTCGCCTACTGCGACGCCGTGATGCAGCCCAATCGTCGCCGTGTACGCTCCCAGCGCCGCGTTAGAGACACGCGAGTGCTTCATGATCGTCAACTGTGCTGGCGACGCTTCCGGATGCGCGGCCCAGAGATGCGTCATGGTGACTGCGGGTTAGCTTAACCAAAGCAGAGGTAGCTCACTGTAGTCGATCACGGCGTCGCCGAGGAACTCAAACATTTCGAAGTGGCCGAAGGAGCCGGGACCCTTGCGGGGAGACTGGGGTCAGCTTGCTAACCCTTGTGGAAAGCTGTGAGAGCGGTACTCACCACGATAACGTCCGCGGTTTTCGGATCCCGGAAGACGTAGTCCTTCAGCGTTGTGCCCACGGCTGACGAGCGGCTGGCGGGGAACCGCTTCATCTTGAGCGGAATATTGAGCCTGTGGGCAATATCCAGCGCCGCTTGGAGCTTCGCAATATCATCGCCCTCCGTGCACAGGTACGCCGCCCCGAGCAGCGCCTCAGCGACGTCCGCGATCGTCTTGTCGCCGATTGGGAGCTGGGTGAAGTTGTCGCTGGCTGGAGGCAGATCCTCCCCAGCATAGCCTAGGGGGAGCGTGACCCAGCCGGGCGGCACAACGTCACGGTGCTTGCGCTTTCCGCTCCGGATGAAGGGGACTATACCACTCTTCAGCGCCGCGATCTTGAGCGCCTTGTTCGACACGGAGCCGTGCCGCGCCCGCGTCATTGCACCCTCGCTCTTAGCGAGGTCGAACACGTCGAGCGTCGCGAATAGCTTCAGCAACGTGTCGCCTAGAATCTCTAGGCGCTCGTAATTCTCGTGGCCTTGAGAGGCTGTGTCCTGCGCTGTTCGTGCGCCGGGTGGACACAGTGCCTCGAGTACAAGCTCCGGCGATAGCGTCCCGCCGAGTAGCCTTGTGGCTTCGGCAGCGACTAGGCGGTCGTTCAGCTGTGCGATCAGGTTCGGAAGCAGAGTCGCTGTCCGTAACGAGCTCGCGGATACGCTCGTCTTGTGCAGATCCTTGGCTGGACGCACGTCGGTTTCCGCCTTCTTCGTGAGCGAGCCGACAACGCCGCCCCGCTTCGCGCTGAAGAATTGCGATATCCGCACCTGCGCCTTGCCGTCTTCGCCTAGTCCATCTGGCGTCGCCGTGAACTTGCGGTTGAAGTCACCGAACGCCACGATCGCGTCTTCGAGCTGCGTCTCGAGCTCAGCGGGGTCTTGCGAGAGCTGCTCGTGCTCCTCGCTACGCTTCACTTCGGCCCAGTCGACATCGTTGTCCTTAGCGCGATGTTTCGGCGTATAGTCTCTCCGCAGCGGGAGGAGCAGGATCGGCGTATCCTCGAGCTTGCTCTCTACACGCTGGTTCGTCATCGCCTGCAGTAGCCGGCGTGTGTATGCGAACGCCTCTGTGCGCTGTTCGGAGGAGAGCTTGAAGGAGCGCGTGTGCTTCAGATCAAGCCGTGCCGAGGTGTCATACGCGCTGACGTCTACGGGGACGATCGGCGCCTGGTCCACCGTCAGGAACGCCAAAGTGCGGCACTCTGGGACCAAGTCGACGCCCTCGACGATGAGGTTGACGGCCAGGCCGTGCAGCTTCCCCTCGTCACCGATCGGCTTCCAGTTGTTCGACCACAGCAGGCTCTTGTACCCCTCCGTGCCGACGACGCCGACCTCCTTATGGCCGTCGAGCTCGGCGCGCGCAGCATTCCGCTGAACTTCGAGCGTCTTCTTCATACCGTTGCTGTCGGGCTGCGCCTGGTAGTGTCAGCTCATCCGGTTGCCGCCATAGCTTACCTCTCCTTTCTGCTTAGCCGGGTTTGCAGGTGTTGGATTCAGCTGAGCATCAAACTCGCCCGCAAGTATAAGCTGCTCTACGACCGCCAGAGCCGCGCTCTGCTTTGCGAGCTTCTTAGAGCGGAATGAGCCATTGCTGCTGCCGCCCCTCACGGGAGAGTTGAACGGCATCGACAGCTCGCATGAGTAGCCTTCCGGGGTCTCGGTGAAGACATAGTTCGCATTGTGTTGTGCGATCACGTTGCGCAGGCTGCCGCAGTAGAGGTTGATGAGGCCGGTCGCATTGCTGAGGTTCGCCATGGCGGAGAAGTGGAGGTCTGGTGGATGGAGGCGAACGGCTCACACGCTTGCAGCGAAGGCGCCGCAGATGCTTGATGCGTGTGAGCCCGCCTCTATGAGCGCGGTGAAGGTGAGGAAGAGTGAGTGATGGTGAGGTCGCGAGAATGGAAGGGGTGCATGAAGGAAGGCGTGGTGCGACGTGCCGCAGAGGGGCGTCAGGAAGGGGTTTCCAAAAGTTGACTGGACCAGATGTCAACAACAATGACCTCATACCTCATACACCCGGCGTGAAGTGTGTCTTCCTTCTGTACTTCTGTCTTCCTCACCTTGCGCCTTCATCGCTGTAAAACCTCATCGAACGCAATGCAGCACCTCTCTACCTTCAGAACATCAACCGGCAAAGCTCGACTTATCTGCTCCTCCAGGACCACCCCAGTCAAATGTTCTAACGGCTCAGCCTCGGATCAGGGGGGTCACTTGCCCGCTGACAGTCATGTGGACAACGCCGTTCGCACACCCATGTCAGCCTTAGCCAACCTTCCTAGCACTCTTGGCGTATATCTGATTGCCGTGATGCGCGCAGTCGCCGAGGTCAGAAGTGAACGTTGTTGCCGCGAAATCACCTAACACCGCGATCACGCCCGGCACAAGATAACAGCAATCCGCGTCTCCACGCAGCACTGTTGTCACGCGCGACGAGCATGGAGAGTGAAAGTGTTATGGGATTATGAGGAATCGTAGACAGTTTTGCGGATGAAGCAACGAGTCAGTCGACCATTCCCCGCGGCGAAATAGATCGGTAGGCCGGACTAGCGAGCGCAGAGACCACAGATTCGGAGACTTGTGCTAGCAGATAGGACCGCAGACTGTGCTTCTTCGAGCAGGGTGGCCCCAGTCTATGCTGCCATCATGTCATCGATCTGAGCATGAAGATGTAGGTGATTGTAGTGCTTGTTCTAATTGTGGACTGCGGCGCGTATGGGCTGTCTGAATACCGATGTGTACGGCGTACCGGGCTGGCTGAATAGACTTGTCGCGGTGGTCGCGGATCGCGGGTCGCGGGCAGACCCTGGGCTCACCCTGCCGCCCTGCATTCTTGGTTCCGGCTCACTCACACCCGGATTCCTCACTAGTCCTTGGCTATGGTCTCCCTCTAGCTGCGACCCTCTTGACTCTTGACTGTCCTCCAACATCCCCTTCACCCAACACTTTCCTTCGAAAGCCCAGCATCAGCATGCCGCGCCGCTCCTACAGAGAGCACCGCGCAAGGCGCTCCGCACAGCAGATTCGGTGAGTCCATCACCTCATCCCACCACCGCTTAGGCGAGAGACCTCACCGAGCAACCAACCTCGAGGCGAATGTTTGCAGGGAGCAAAGGTAGCCGGATAATGTGACGCGTAGGTCGCGACCGTGCGACTTATCCAGCACATTATGTGTCGCCTGGCCGTCTGCATCCTCTGCCAGACTACGACGTGCGTGGTCAAAGATCATGCATGCGGGGACTACGTGTCGGGCGGCAGCGGCATGGAAGGGCACATCCGTTTCTGCGTGCTTCACCCCGTGTGCACTTCGTTTTGCGCCCGCCGCGTCCACCGACGTCTTAAAGGCACAGCAGATAAGGATACACGCTCCAGCGCAATCTCTCTTCCCAGTATTCACTCCATATCAATAGTTCAACGTCTTGGTTGTCGTGTCTCCGGCACCGGTCACCGCAAACCCAACCTGACACGTTCAACGTCATCACCGCCCTGGTCCCCGACCTCTTGCTACAGGCACCCTGACTGACACATCGCAGTGACGACGATTCGGTAGCTTCGTACTCGACATTAGGAAGCTACACCGCCTACACTGGATCGGTTGCCGGAAGCTACGCTGGCTCTGCGGCTCCCGGCACAGCTGCTAGCAGCGGACACCGCCCACGAACCAGCTCAACCGCTCGTGAGCTGTCCGAACTCGAACTCCGGTCCCGTCTATCCCCTCCCCCGGCGCGAAGTGCCTCGCCTCACGTCCGCAGCCTTTCGCCGAGTCTCGATGGTTCCATCCTCCGCAGCAGGTCACCTGGCTTAGGAGAAAGCGCACTGTCGCCGCGGCTCTCGCCTTCGATCAGCGGTCTGTCTTCGGTTTCAGAACTGCCAGGGAAGGAACAGATCGGCTTCCCCAGTGGACCAGAAAGACTGTCCTCCAACTTCAGCCTGGGAAGCAGCTCCGACTCGATGCGGGAACGTGCACCGGCGACCGCCTCGGTCCTGCTCGACGGCAAGCCGCTGCCGGCTGAGCACACAAACGGAACCGCCAACGCTGAGAAGGAGAAGAAGCTTGAGAAGAGGAGAGTAGAGGATGAAAAGCGCCGCAAGAGGGCGCGCAATGAGGAGAAGTGGAGGAAGGTGAGAGCGCGCGAGGCGGCTCACGACGCCCCGATCCGACGATGGGCGCGCTTCGTCCAGAACCGGGTAGGCACAAAGGGTGCCGTCCTCCTCGCGGTCCTCGGGTGCTGGGGTATCCGCATTCTGCTGGCGTGGGCCAGTCTTTGTGAGTTCTGATCGGCGTTGTTTTCGACTTGAACTGACAACAGCCTTATCACGACCACTACGATCGACTCTTGCCCGGCAGGCCAACGACGCAAAGATGGCCTGCACGATAGTCCTTCCCCTGCCCCCGTGGGCCCGACGTAGGTTGTAGTTCCCTCGATGTCGCTGACTCTGCTTAGCCTTCGCTCCTCTGTGTCGTGCCGCTCTGCATTACCCGACCCAGGCGTTATCAATCGCTCATTTGTCCGTCGAGTCTGTGCTTTGGTCAGCCAGTGTAGCCTGGGCCATGTGCGAGGGCTGGCGCGAGGGCCGAACGCTGCGGACACGTGTCGGTGCCATTGTTTATCTCGTGCTGTCTCCCGCACCGGTTCTCAGCAGTCTGCTGCTTCAGTGGGTACAAGCTTCGTGCCTTGTGTGGGAGAAACTGACACCCAGGGCTCGCACCGTCCCTCTCGGAGTCATTGCCTGGGCTCTCCTCGCTGCCAGTTCCGGCTGGGATGCCGCGTGCGCCGCTCTGCTCGTTGTTGCGGTCACCCTTGACTCGCGCATGTGGGCCTACGTCCCAAGCTTCCTCACGTATGCGGTTGGCAAGTGGATCTGGCTCGGCAAGCGTGGCAAGGGCTACTTCCCTCGCCTCCTCGTCGCCGTCGGCTTTGCATGGACCGTACTCGGCTCGGCCAGCAGCTCGCCTCTGCGCGTGCAAGTTGGGCACGTTGTACAGGTTCTCGTCTCGCTGCTGACGAAGGACGGTCTGGTGGCTCTCGGCGAGAAGCTCAGCGAGGTTTTCTCCCTGTACACGCTGTGGATCGTCGCTGCGCTCGCTCCGTCGGCGTACCTCCTCCTGCGAGCGAGCCACGTCCTGCGCCCCTCGCCTGGCGAACCGGCTACGCACGACAGCATCCCCGCTACTGTGCGCCTGCTCCCCATTGCGCTGACGGCGACTACGGCTGCCATCGCTATCAGCCTCCCTGCGACCAGCCGCGTAGCAGACACGGCGCTGCCACTCCTGCCTCTCGCGCTGGCCTCTTCGCTCCGAGGCGATGACGACGAGTGGGCTGTTGCTGTGCAGGCCGCGCAGGTCGCCAACATTGCGATGTGGCCCGCGCTGGCCAAGTTCGGCCTTCTCCCACTCACGGTCTGGGCGATCGGATGGTCGTACGTTGTCGGAGCGAAGCGCGACGCGCCCGACCCAATTCTCCGCATTCACCAAATGGTAAGTCGCTTAACATCCAGCTACCCTGTTGCCGCGAACACAGCTGACCATCAGATCACGACGTTCCTAACGACGCTGGCGCCGTTCATGCCGCTCCTCGCACCCTTTGTGCCCGACACGACGATGGGATACCTCAAGTACGCGCAGGAGGGCTTCATCGTTGCGTCTCTCGGTCTCTTGATTCTGTGGGCCAACATCCGGCTGCTGAAGAGCGCGTGGGCGATTGGCGCTCTGTAAGGGTGTTCTTGTACATAGTTACTATTACTCTTTACCTTTAGAAAATGAGATGCCATTTGCGTCTTGTGCGAGCTGTCACGTTCAGTTGCAGCCTACTCGCAGTGCAACAGCTGTCGCTGCGCTTCAACATACGGACCAATGCCCGCCTGGCTATAGGCGGATAGCCGAAGTCACGTGCTGCATTTGCCACCTGGTTCTGGACGTTTCGTCATTCCAGCAGCGTTTAAGGGTCTGACCGGCCGGGGCGTAAGCGTTGCTCAAGGAAGGAGTTCCGAGATTTTTCGCCGCCTCAGCCGTCAGTGTGGGCTTCGGACTCGATCACATTTCGCAGTTGTCACCACAACTCTACTTCTACACACACCACTCATCTCTACACCCAACACAATACACAATGCCACCAAAACTGCAAGTGAACGCGCTCTCGCGCGCGCTCGTGCGCACCCCCCTCCCGACCCCCGTTCCCCAGCGTCGACAGCTCCACCTCGCCTCGGCCTCGTCTTCGGCCGGACCCTCTGGACCCAGCTCAAGCCGCCCACTCGCGCGGCGCCGCTCCGAGCCGACTCTCCAGAAGAGGGCCTTCCATGCCACAAACGTGACGGGCGCGAGCCAGAAGGATCCCTATGATGTGCTCGGCGTCGCGAGGGATGCCAAGACGGCCGATATCAAGAAGGCGTACTATGCGGTGAGTCACGGGCTGCTGCATGCGGCGGTGCGGCGACTACGCCTTCCTTTCCTCCAACCTTACGTGCCGGCCCCCAGCGGAATGAGTGAGCTCGGCCGGCATGCTGAGCTCTAGAGCCAGGGGGATGGACCGGGGGACGACGCCAGCTGCACTCCATTGACCAAGCTAACGCGCAGCTCGCGAAGAAGTGGCACCCAGACAGCAGCAAGGAGGAGAACGCGGCCGAGAAGTTCCACGAGATCCAGTCCGCGTACGATATTCTCAGCGACGACAAGAAGCGCAAAGCGTACGACATGTACGGCACGACTGGCGACTCTGAGTCGGACTTTGGACCCGGCGCAGGCGGTTTCGGGGGGTTCCAGGACTTTGGCGGCTTCGGCGGAGGCCGGGGCGGGCAGGCAAGTGACCTGTTCGAGCAGCTGTTCGGGGGCGCGTTCGGCCGTGGCCAGACGGGCGGCTTCAGCGGCGGTGGCCCCTTTGCGGGCGGCGCTGGGTTCCGCCAACGACCCGTGCGCGGAGACGACCTCGAGACGACGGTCAACATCGACTTCATCCAGGCGTGCGAGGGCACGGCGAAGCAGGTCACGGTCACGCCTGTCGTGGAGTGTAAGCCGTGCCATGGCAGTGGCCTCAAGCCGGGGGAGAAGAAGGCGACCTGCGCCCAGTGCCGCGGCACGGGCCAGCAGGCCTTCCAGGTGCAGGGCATGTTCATGGCGAGCACTTGTCGGGCATGCAATGGCTCCGGCTCCACCATCCCGCGCAGTGCGCGCTGCGACAGCTGCGACGGCGTCGGCCGCGTCAAGGAGCGCACGACGATCGATGTCGACATCCCCGCCGGCATCGAGGACGGCATGAAGATCAAAGTGCCCGGGGCGGGCGACGCGCCCTTGTCCTCAACAGGACCGAACGGCGACCTCTTCGTGCGCGTCAACGTCAAGCCCAGCTCCGTCTTCAGGAGACAGGGTACCAACATCTTCCACGACGCCAAGGTGCCCCTCACGACCGCGCTGCTGGGCGGCAAGGTGCGCATCCCGACGCTCGAGGGCGATGTCGACGTCAAGATCCGCGAGGGCACGCAGTATGGCCAGGAGGCCGTGCTCAAGGGCCGCGGCGTCAAGTCGCTCTATGGCCGGAAGGGCGAGCGCGGCGACCTCGTCGTGACGTGGAAGGTCCAGATCCCCCGTGGTCTGACGGCCAAGCAGAAGAAGATTCTCCAGGAGTTCGCAGACGACCTTGATGGCAAGTCCGCCGGCTCGACCAACAGCAACAACGGTAACGGTGCGACAGGATCAGGAAGAAACAGCGCTGATACGAAGACGAATAACCGTACCGACCGCGTTTGGGACACCGAGGACGTCGGTCGCGGCCCGCAGGGCCAGGGAGGCGTCGCCGACAAGGTTGCTGGCGCGCTTGGGTCCGCTGTTGGCTGGGCCGAGCGCCTTCTCCACCGTAACAAGGAGAACAGCTTTGAGGATCAGGACAAGAAGGACGGCGGCAAGAAGTAACAATCTTGCTTTCGACAACATGATCTAAAACGACATTGACCTCCGGGAACGTCGGCATCGAAACGACCTGCGACTCGCTCTCACGAGCTCTCAGGCTAGAACGCAATCTCTACTCATCCATACTTGGGCGCACCTCTCATAGAGACAGAATCATGCATTGCATTAGAATTACACTACTAGTACAAGAAGCTGGATGTCGGCTGACTGCTGGCTAGGTAAACTGACTACGCCATTTGAGCAGAGCGTGAGCCCGTCAGCCCGCTGAAGAGTCAGCTTTCATTCGGCGCGCGTGACAGCTGCGCTAACTCACCTCACGACGGCGGCATCCCCATCATGCCCACGTTGCCCATGAGCTGTGTCGGGTCCCAGTTCCACCAGCTGCCGGACTGTTTGTCAGTTTACGAACAGGAATCGGTAAACTCACCTGTCCATTGCTGCCCGCGTCTTCGCGCGACCCCAGCATGATTGTCGGGTCCCAGAACTGGTGCAACTGGGCGTTAGCGGATCTAGTCCTTACGACTCACAAAGAGGTCCGTCGACATGTCTGTGCTCTGCGGCGCAGACTGCAGCATGTGCTGCTGCAGCACGGCGTCGAGCTGCGGGACGGGAGCCGTGGGCGGTTGAGCGGGGACGCCGGTCGACGGAGGTGGGGTGTACTTCTTTGCGGCGGTCGCGCGCTGGATCAGCCGCGTGCGCCAGCCCATTAGCTTTACGTCGATGTCGTCGTCGTCGTCGTCCTCGATGCTCTCTCGAGGCGCGGATGAGCCACCAGTGCTTTCCTGCTCTGAAGCTGCAAGCGCGCGCTGCCGCAAGTGCAACAGCCACTGGTGGTTCTGGATTAGACTCGGGGTCGGGTTCAGCTTGATCACGGAGGAGTAGAGCTTGATCGCATGGTCGATCTGGACCAGCGCCAGCTGCGAGAGAGGGTTTGAACTGTTCTTGATGATCATCGTGCCAATGCAGATTGCAGCGGTGAAGAGGTGGTACTGCATGTCAGCTGTGGCCAAAGCTTCCCCCAGCGTGACCTACCCAAAAGAACCAGTGACGCGCTGTAACTCGCGGGAAGCACTCGTACAGGCCTGCGACAACCTCGATAATCACCTGGGCGTTAACAGCTGATCTTGGCGGCCGATCGCAGCTGAACTCACGGTACATCGCTCCACGATAGCGAGATAGCTCTTCCCGTAGATGCTCTTCGTCGGATCCTTTGGATTCTCCTGCAGTGCCTTGATGAAGTACGGGCGTTGCAGGAATATGATTGTCTCGCTCACGTTCAGGCTCAGTGTGAACTGCTGGAATGTAAGGTGCAGGTTGTCCAGCTTGATGTTCGGGCTGTCCTTGATCGCCGACTCCGTGTCCTGATACACACTCGACAGAGCCTGCAGCGCAGTTCGGCAACGGAGGTTGAACGGAATCTGCCGCTCGAAGGTACACAGCCTGTCGTACAGTTGGCCGATCTTCGAGTACGGCGTCGATCTCACGGACATCGCCTGGTCCAGCACCGCACCCGATATCCGGCATAGCTCGAACTTGAGCTGCCGGAAGACATTGTCGCTCCAGGAAGCATCGTGGGGCGTTGTCGATGGGTAGGAAGGAAACTCGGTGTCGATGTGCTCGGAGCGCAGCGAGCTTGGCCGCGAGAAGCAGTTTGACTGGAAGACGTCGATCGTCTGGCACTCCCAGAATACATGCCGCCGGTCTTGAATAACCTGGTCCGGCAGGTTCCACCGTTCGCCGTCAATGTGCAGACCCATGGCAGTGACCAAGCGCATTGCGAGACCCCACAACGGCCATGCGCTGTCCCCGCTTCGACCTTTCTCCGTTTCACTGCAGTCAGCTTTAGCCGAAACGTGGGGCTGGTAGCTCACAGATGATAATGGGCCATGATAACCAGGGCCTGCAAGCCGGGGACAGTGTTGACGCCCATGAAGTCTCCCTTGACGAGGCACCATCGGGAGGCTGCCAAGTGATGCTCGGCACTGGGGTGGTGGGGTGGCAATTCTGGGTTGTGCAGTGCTCCCATGGCGAAGATGATGAAGAGAAGGGCTAGTTGCTGCAGATGCACCCGTTGAGCCAGGGGCTCGTCAGAGTGCTCGTACACCTTGTTGAAGATGGGCTCCACGCCTTGTCGAGGAGCGACATCGTGGCTGTCGTTAGCTACAGTTCTGTTTCTCCCAAGCTCGGCAGGAGACTTACTTCCACGCATAGTTCTCGTAATAGCAGTCGAGAAGATCCCTTGCAACCTCGGGCGCGGGCAGATGGCTCGTCAGTGTATCCATTGTCGGTGGAGGACCCCAGCTCGGGAACGGGAATAGACCGCCGCTCTCATCGACTCGTGTCGGGGAGGATGTTTGAGGTGATGTTGACCTTGGTCTCGCCGAGGAAGACAGTTCTTGCTGCCAGTCAGCTTCAGGAGGAATCGGGTAGCTCACATTCTTCAGCCATTCTGTTCCAGCGGTAGGCCCGAGCCACTTGCTACGTCCACTCTTGTCAATAACGAGGGTGCCGTAATTGTCCTGCGGCTCTTGACGTTGATGAATAGGAGAAGTAGAGTACGGTTGTCGACTGAGCTGACGTGGCTCGTCCCGTGGATCTCTTGACGTGCCCCTCGTGCGCCCTCGATCGTCCCAGGCCACCCTTCTGTGTTCCCACTCTCGATCGCGTGCGTCTCGAGCGTTGCTGATTTGGCCCGGTCGGTCTGATCGGTCTCGCCCTCGGTCTGACCAAAAGTCTCCACCGTGCTCTCGATCCCGCTCACGATCTCTATGCCGCCCCCGATCGTGATCGATGTCGGGCGAGTGACTCCGAGAAAATCCTCGCCGATACCGCCGGTCGCGATCGCGATCGCGCTCCCGGTCATAGCTTCGTGACCGTGATCGACTCCGACCCGCCCGCTCACCGAACCGCAACAGCATCGTTTCGATCGCGGTCAACCTCTCCCTCATCTCGTTGATGACGGGTCCGGAGGCTTCATTGGGGTTCTCCCCGCGGCTGCGTATCAGCTTCCATTGTCACGTCCCTGTAGCTGATAACCCAGTCCATCGGAGATCGATTGCTCACGCTTTCTTCACTTTGACCGAGTCCGGACACAAGTCGGCACATTCTCGGCGCACGCAGTTCGAGCACGGAACTGACGTCAGCTACGAGAGGGGGTAGACGAGCTTACTTTGCCGGTCGCACTTGAGCTTGAGGCGATGACATTCTGCTTGTCAGCTACATTGCGCAACACGATAGCTGCTACTTACCAGCACAGCTGAGCTGTTTCCGACTCCGCGGCTCCTGGCGCACCTGATACCGGCTCTCGCGGCCCTCTGGAGTGCTCATGGCGTATCTTCCTCGTGTCTTCCTCGTCTTCCTCGAACGTTGCAATGACGGCAGCCAGCTTGCAATTGCACAGCGAGGTCGAGGAGAGTACGTTTGAAGCGATAAGCCACTGCTCTGACCGAGGAAGAGAGGACGGATGGCGCTAGCGGGAAGTCTTGGGGATGGGGGGATGGGAAGGATTGCAACAACAAAGCGGCAAGACGGTTCATCGCGGTCCAAAAGCGCGAATCTCACGGCTATCGCCGGCAGCAACATTTCGGTTCCGTGCCTGGAACTGACCACCTACGACTTAGCTTCCTGCCGTCCTAGCTTCTGCTGCTCTCTGCTATGACTCGCATGCTTTGGCACGCATTGAGCTATGCTTCTACATCGCTGCGGATTTCCTCAACTCCTCCTGCAGACGTCGCTAGGTCGAAGAGCATGTGGTATTTGGGATGCATTTGGTCGTGCGTTGGGTATGATTAGGTGAAGGCTATGGAGCGATTTCAGGTCGGTACACCTCTTACAACAGTCTACTTGCTCGCGCTGCTCTCTGATGCTCTACGCGAGATTGTCCCACTCGAACTCGCCTCGCTTGAAGTCGCCTCACTTGAAGTCCCTGAACCACTTGCTTCTTCCAAGGTCGCACTCCTCGAGGGCGTCGGTGTAGCAGCCGGCGGAGTTGTGTCTTGGGACAGGCTAGCGACCGGACGGGGCGGCAATGGTCTTCTCACTCTATGCCTGGGCGGGGAGTGTGGAGGCGTCGCCGGCCTGAAGTCCAGTCTCTCCACTGCGGCTGCCAATTCTGCAAGTTGCCCCTTCATCATCTGCACTTGGTTCGCACATTGGCAGGGAAGGTACTGCGGCTGAGGCGGCGGCCAGAACGCCATGAAGGGCATGAAACCCGCTTGCATGGGGTGGAAACCAGGGACAACCGTGGGCTGCGGTACATGGCGCTGCAGTTGGCTGTTTTGAGGCTGAAGTTGCTGCCCGTTTGACATGGCGTTAGGTGATTCATTTGACGGCGCGTTTGGCGGAGCAGTCAAAAGTCCGGCCGGCATGGCGTTCGGCATCGATTGCGAGTGTGAGTGTGAGGGCCCGTGGTATTGCGCCATATGCCGCCGGTCTCCCTCGAGAGCGGCCATAGCCTCCGTCAGCCGGCGAACTTCACTCATGAGCCTCGCGGTCTCTTCTTCCCGCGGGTCGCGCTCGGATAAGAGTGTAATCTGACTCGGGGACTCGCGGAGCATCGGCAACTCGGAGGCGGAAAACAGCGGGTCTGAAGGAGTGTATTGAGGTGCTGCTTCCGCGCTGGGGTGCCAGCTGCTGTGCGGCCGCCGTGTGGTCGAGCTTAACACGGGGTTGGGCAGGTTGGGAGTTTCAGGTGGGCCGGGCGAGGCATAGCCATGCGTATCGTCCGAGTGTCCGTTCGCGAGTCCGTTCGCAAGTCCGTTCGTATCTTCCCCGAACGTGCCTGAAGTCCCAGCCACGCTGTGCACCGAGCTCTGTCGCGTGTGGGTCGATGTTGAGGAAGCGAGTATCGTCGCCGGCGGAGTTGGCAGTCCCGTGTCAGATGCTTCCTGCGGGGTGGGAGGGAGACTCTTCCCTCCGCTCCCATCAGTCGGTGAATGGCCGTCATTCAACTTGAGGCTGGTGCTCATGCTTCGCGGTGTCGAGGGGAGGGTCGGATTCTCCGATCTCGGCGAAGACTCGATGATTGGGAGTAGCGCATCAGGGCGGAAGATGCTGTTGCGGGTGCCATGGATGGTGTGCGGGCGGGTGGGCAACGATGGCGTTGTGGTTGTTGCCGTGAGGGATGTTGATGTCGGTGTGAAGTCGACGAGGTTGAACGAAGGGCTCTCGTCGGAATCATTCTTCGATGGCGCTGCGGACCGGGCGCCGTCCTCTTTCCTCCTCACGACCTTCAAAGGAATGAGCTCTGGGTGTTAGCACTTGAAGGCGAAGAGGTGGGCTTACTCCAGCGCTCATGGAAGGACAGCTTATCGTCCCCTCCCTTCGCGTTCAGAGACATGGTGTGGGTTGTTGGTATGAATGGAAGGAACTGTGCGGTTATATGCGTCTTGGCCCGGCAGCACGGGTGGTAAAGTGTGCCTTGCGTTCTCCTGAGCTCTTCTCAGTACAGGAGTCGGAGATGATGAGCCGTGCGTCAGGTCAGGTGAGTGAAGTGCATGCTGTAGGAGGGAGACTCGAAGGACAAGCCCAAGCTGGCATGGCTAGCAGCCAGCCAGAAGCGGACGCCGATAGCACCGCACCAATGAGCCCGACTGCACAGCTTGCGAGAGCCAGCAGGTGTAGTTTGGGTTCTGTTTGCGGTCCAGAATTCCTCTCTGCCCTGGGCACATGCTGTGGACGCTCGAGCGCCGACCCGAGAACAAGGTCAGTGAGTCGCCAGGTAGCCTTAGAGCCCACAGCGTTAGGGCATAAGTGCACAGATGTGGGCCACTCGAAGACAAGCTGGAGCAGGATGTGCATCGCGACGTATATACAACAGTTGAGTACTTCTATGTTTGGCCGGAAGTGTCGGCATCGGAGCTGCTGGAGTAGTACGAGCTCTGGCTTTCGGACGGCGAAGTGCGGTGCGACTTGGGAGCGGAGTCAGACGACGGAGAGTCCGAAACGGGCCCTTGTGGCTCTCGCAACGCCGCCCTCGGAGGCGTCGAGTGATGGCGCTTTGCTGAGGGGGAGCTGGCCCGGGCTGCGAGTTTCAACTGACCTCCAATTCCGGAGGAGGCCCGCTTGGGCTCCGTGGGAGTGCACGGATCATCGGGAGCAGGTGCGGCGCCGGTGGTCTTAGCGACAGCTGGAAGCTCGGGCGGAGCTGGTGGGCCAGCCACCGCGGAGGTCTTGACGTTGGACTCGTTGACAACGGGTGGCTTCTGAAGGGCTGGCGAAGTGTTCACTGGGATGGCTGGGCGAGATGCCAAAACCACCTTGAGGGATGAGAGCTCCTCAGTGAGCGTTTTAATTGCCCCTGCGAGCCCATCACCGACGTTCACGGTGACGTTCACGTTGAGTGCAGATGGCTCAGCGGACTCCTTTCGAACGTAAATGTCAGAGTGCATTGGAGACCAGTGCTTTCCCATACAAGAGGGCATTGAAGAGGGAGCAGCGGTGGAGGCGACCGATGCGGCAGGCCCGGCCATCTGCGTGTCGCTCGGATTATCGAGCAGCCGGTCTGATGCAGTGGCGGTGCTCTGGAGACTGGACTGGGCACACCGCTCGCAGTTCGGATTATTACATCTGCGGTACAGCGTTGCGGGAGAAAGCTGGGGACTGAGAGGGATGGGATGCCTTCGAGGCGCAACATGATCCTCCGTGTAGTACACCGCGTCGTGAGCGGGGGCCACGGCACTTGTGGGTGGCGGAAGGAAAGGGTAGGCAGCTTCCGGGATAACGGCGGCGGGCTCACGCAGCTCTCGGCAGCTCGTGCAGTCACTCGAGCAGGTCGAGCGGCTACTCGAGCTCTCCGCACTCGAGAGTCTGGGGTAGTGGTTCGAGCCATCCGCAGGGGATAAAGGCACATCTTCCCTATCCTTATCCCCTACTCGTACGCTCGACAGTTCGATCGTGACCATCGAATCTTCGGCGGCAGCTCCCGAGCCCCGGCCCGCATCATGTCCGCCGTCCGCCACATTCGCATGAGCAGGCTGAGTCTCGAGGTATGAGAGCTTCCCAACTCTCCAAATCTCAGGCAGCGGCTGACGCTGGAAAGTCGGAGGTTGGCCGATGGAGAATTGATCCTCTTTCACGCCGGGAGGCTCTTTGCTATCTTCACCCTTCCCCTCAGGCGACGAATGGAATGCGCGCTTTAGCGACGGTCGGGGTGGCGTCGTTGGCGAGATGCGTCGCAAATAGTTGGTGCGAATCAGGTGGCCGGCTGAGGCGATGCTGGACGTGACTGTGGTCTTGGGCCGAGGGAGTGTACGGATCTCCCTTGGCGTGATGGGTGATGGAGCGGCTGTGGCCGGGACTACCCGAGCCGGAGCGGCCGCGATCAGGCTGGAGGTGCGTGCCGGGAGAGTGGCCGGTGAGACTGGTGTTAGAGCTGTCTGACCTGGGAAACTTACATCTGAAGAGCCGTGAGAGACGGTCCGGGGCGTCGGTTTTCTCCTTGGCTGAAGGTGAGGGCATGGCGACCGGCCTGCTCTTCTCCTTCAGCAAGTGGCTTGTTCCTTATACCACTCTGCGGTAGTGGACGCTCAGCAAGCACTGGCCTTACCAGCCGGCGCCGCATAGTCAGTCTCAGGTTAGATTACGAGTCGGGTTACAACAGTATGCATAAGTGCTACAATCGACACTGGCCACTACGGCTTTCGTGTTTCGGCCGGCCCAGCCGGTCGATGGTTGGTTGGTTAGGTGTGGTGAACGCGCGGCGGCTCGGGGAACACTGTCCTTAGCTTCAACCCGTCCGCGACAAGGTATGGCGTCGTGGGCGTTGGCCATGGTGTCTGCGGCAGAGTCTCCCTCTCCCAGTCAGGCGGCGGTTGCGGACAATCAAATGTCACGTTGAGGTTACGGCGGCGATGGAGCTTGCCCTTGGGGGGAGGTGCAGGTTTGTCGTTATTGTTCGTCTCCTCCGCCCCTCCCCCATCTCCTGCGACAACTGCCCCGGCTTCTCCGACGGCTGTAAGGCCGCCTTCGCGCCCCCCAGCGGTTTTCTCAATGCGCACCCATCCCTCACCCAAGGGCCTCTCGCTCTGCAGACTCTGAGCGCGTGCACGTGTCGGTGTACTAGAGGGCGGAGGGAGTTCAGGAGGGACTGCGCTCTTGCTCCGCACGTGCCGACGACGGGGCAGACGGACACTAGCCGTGTGTGCGATTTTGAGCGCCGAGCGGAGGATGATGTCCTTCTTCGTTTCCGGTTTCTCGTCCTCTGGAGCTGAGGTTAGCTTGGCCCGTCTTGGCTCTCCAGCTCACTTTTCGCTACCTGCGCTGGTTTCGGCTCAGCCTCCTTAGCACACGGCACGGGAGGCACGGAAGTCGGAGCCGGCGCAGCATCCGAGAATGTTGACCTGCGTCTCAGAGCCCATATCGGCGCTCCGGCGTCAGGGCTCTGCGAGCGAGCTGTCAAAGTCGGTGAAGCCATGGTCGGTGGCGAGTGGCAAACGCGAGTGCGCGACAGTCCGACGACGAAAGTGTTGCGCCAGGGTGCACTTTATGAGTTCCATAGGATGTCGAAAGGGGAAGTGGTGTGCGCCATGGTCCGTGCACTCCACCGCCGCGACGTGCCGCGCGTCACGGCGGAGGGCAGGAAGGAACGAAGGCACAGAGGCACGGCGATGCACAGATGCATCATCATTGTGCAAACGTGCGAGGGTGAGAGAGGGGAGAGTGCGACAGAAACGGCAAGTAGACGCACACTGTGCATCGGAGCGCGAAGTGATCTGCACGCCCATGCTCCGCACTGTGCACTGCGCATCTCGGAGTGAGCCTGTGGTGATGTGCCACACAGCCGCGCAGCCGCGGCACATCATCGGATCTGTCTTCCGACTTCTTCTGCTGCGCCCGGCACTGGTCGGATCTTGCGTTTCATGAGTCATAGATTGTGATGCTATGCGTCATCTGCGTTAGTTCATGATCGGCGAGTCACGGAGGTGCGGCGTGGTGGGCAGACGTTGCGCACCCAGAAGCCAAAAGGGTCAGACGCGCTGCGGCTGAAGCCTGTACCTCAATCCGGATCAGAGGTTAGTCGTTGACATTTTGGGGCAATAGGATGATATTCAACTCTGAAAGCAGTCCTATAATCTTCATATCGTTTACTGTGCACATCGTTTACCATTCTTATCGTCCGCCGCTCGTATCGTTATAACTCTATTGAACGCGGTCTGACCGCATGATGTGGGATCCGCTGGGGAGAGATTTCACCAGAAGTCCCAACGACGGCGCCTCCGCCTCTCGTTCCTAATCCTCTCGACTGTCAGTTAGCTCTGTCAGAGTGAACAAGGTAGCTCACAGGCATCATCGGGGTTGCCGAGGGCACCGATGTAGTGGCGCAGAGCGGTGGCCTCGGTGCACTTGGTCTCATTCACCAGAGCGCGGACGTTCTCCCAGTCTGTGCGTCAGTGAGCGGCGTTGAGGCCAGCTGGTCGGGCGAATTGTGCCACTGCACCTAGAGCCAGCCGTGATAAGGCGAGCAGCAGTGGTGCATGGGCATCAAGCTGTCGTACTTGGGGTTGGCTGGGCCAGATCACGCACTACCGGGCGCCAAAAGTCGCCGCATGGCGGCAGGGTATGGCGATCGACAGTGATCGACGGAGCAAGGTACTCACCATGGGCGTCCATGCGAACACCCTGACGGCGGGGAGGGGCGGGCTGGATGCTAGCGTTGGTGGTGGCGGCCATCGCTGTGATGCAGCCAGTGGCAGGCGTGAAGCAGTGAGAGTCGCTGGTGGCGACTGCTGTGAGTGACGGAGTGGGGGACTGACAGTGCTGAGGGACCTTTATACTGACGAGCACGTCGAGAGATGACTTGTCGAGGCCTCCACGGAGGGGGCGAGGGGTGCGACGGTGCGGTGAACTGCGGTTCATAACTGCCAGGCCGCTAGGTGCTGCCTGCTTTGGACGGGTAGGTCCAGGTCAATCAGAGCACGACACATGTGTGCCGTAGGCAGACTGGTGTGGTATACAGACCAGTGCTCAGATCAGTGCTTGGGAGGCGACGCGTTGTGTACTCGCCGTCCGCCAGCAACGCTTTCCGTAGGACCTGGCGCTCTTCAGATGGCCTGGACTGCACTCGTATGCATTTCCATAGGTCCAGCTCGTTTCCGCGTTGTGCCCTCCTTCACACTGTCCTAACTTCCACTCTGCGTTCTAGCCTCCTCATCGCATTGCCCTCTTCCCCTCCGCCTCCTATCAAAGAGAGAGCTTCTCGATCTCCTCGATTACCGGCCGTACACCTCCCACGGGTGCCTCCAGACCCGGAAGGAACCCAGCAGTGCTCTAAAGTGTTGTGGTCAACTATTCGCCGGCGTTCATCACACCCTCATGGGTCTGCCGACACACTCGTCCTGTACAGACCACGGCTTCACCTTCTTTCAGTCCGTAATTCCAGCTGCGTTCAGACACTATTAGCGAGCGTCCTTCATTCAGCTCCCTACTCAGTGACCCCGTGTGGCGGCGGCTTCGGCGGCCGCCTTGACCATGCGTCATTGCCCTGTCGTGAGCTCCTTACGGTGTCGCCACACACCGACGATGTGCCTGCCTCACCGGTTGTCAGATCACCATTCATCTCTGCCCACTTCTCCTGTATTGTAGGAAGATCAGATAGGCGGAGCGATGACCTCGAACGCGAGTCAGCTTGGCGATGCTCCGAACACTTTTCTCCTGACGTACGATCGACGGCGCCAAGAGCCTGGCCGTTGGGCGCCCCATACGATCACCACCTTCCTTGACACCTTCCCCACCCTTCCTCTCTACCTTCTCGCCTCCATAAACATCACGTTCACTCCTTCTCCTTCACCATTCTCCGTGCGCCACCTCTACGCTCCCGCAAGATCTCACTACATCGATTGCCTCAACATACCAGTTGAGCCCTACCTCCGTCCCGTCACTCGGCTGGCGTCGGCCCGGTTCATACTCTGAGTTCAGCATTGGCCATCGGCACGCCCACCATGCGCTGGACCTCTTGGTCGATAGCTGTGCAGGTTATCCTTCTCGCATCGGCAGATCACCACACACCCGTCACCTCGGAGCAAGCCCACCCCGTCAACACCACGTACACCAACCATGCGCTTCACCCCATGTTCAGATACATCCCCCGACAGGAGTGGCCGCGCGACCCTTCCGATGGTTGGAACTTCTCGTCGACCGTGGGCCGCGCATCGTCGTACACGCCGCCCGAGCGCCGCCTCGCCTACCCTCTCACTTCCTTTCCAGACGCCGAAGTGTCGGACAACTTTTGGGGTAACGGTGTCACTCTGAGCGGGTGGGCGGCCAGTGGCACTGCAATCATGCTTGGAATCAATGACGGCCAAGCCCGCAGGATCGTCTTCGCGAGCGAGACGGAGGGGGAGCTTGGGAGCGTGAGGGTCGCTGAGAACGGCTGGCGCACCTTCAAGCTCACGCTCGTTCAGGGGAGCGTGCAGCTCACCAACGTCACGTACCACCAGACGCTTGACCTGGCTTATCCATCTCAAGAGCAAGCTCCGGAACGGACCATCAAGGCTGTCAACGACGACGGCACGACCATCAATCCCTTCTTCGATCTGGAGGGAGAGATGCGGGCACAGGATGGAGGTGGGTCGCATGCATTAGCATCGGTTGAGCTGACAACGGCAGACATCGTTGGAGAGGGTCCAGTCGTCGCCATGTCCCCTGAAGCCCGTATCTCGTTCCGGACTTGGCCAAACGCCACAATGGTGAGGCTTCTCGGCCAAGTTGGCAGGCAAGGTGGCATTGTCGCCTTTGGTCTGGTTCCAGAGCCTGTCGGGGCGAGCATCGTCACGGCGGACGTGTTGAGGTCCCATGACTACTATATGGATGTCGGATACTTCCTCATCGACCCTAAGGCAAGGTTCACCGTCAACGTGAAGAACTACCATGCCAGCAGCAAAATCTACTTCCGTGGTGTCAACTTTCTCCTGGCTTCAGAGTGAGTCTTGCGAGGCGTGGTCTTGGCGACGCACCCCTTGCCGCTTAACAAGCGTGCTTGGTGATTTCGAGAAAGAGCCGCTGACACGTTTGCACAGCGACGGTTTGAATTGGGACCCGACGACGGATACTCTGTGGGGACCTAGCAACAGTAGTAGCAATGGCACCTCCAGGAAAGGAGGCGGCCAGGGTGATAGCAGCGACGAGAGAAGTGGAGCAGGTTAGTAGCCCTGGCGTACTGGTTACGCGGTGAGCTCTGATTAACACCGCAGAACAAGAGAGTATCAAGCGCACCAACGTAGGGGCGATTGTCGGCGGCGTCATCGGCGGACTCGTACGTATCACGTCCTCGCACACGCTTACGCCCAGGTCGGCGCAGCTCTGCTCGGTCTTCTTCTCATCTGGTGTATTTTTCCTGCCTGTCTTCAGCGCCTGTTCCCCAACCGTGCCATTCCTCCTCCTCAAGCCGGCGAGTAAGCATCATCGACTCCTGCCTCCAGCGCGGTGAATGGTACTGTAACGAGTAGCTGACTCCAGATTCACGGTGGACGAGAATGTGCTTGACGTGACGGAGACGGCCGCAGACCCCGTCGTGACGCCTCTCCCCGCCCCAGCATTGGCGCCCGCCTCAAGTTCAGGATACAAGTGAGTTGCTGTTTGCATGGAGTAACTAATGTCAGCAGATCCAGCCAGTACGGCTTCCTGCCTAGCAAGGAGGAGACACAGCAGGGTCTGTCGGCCGACAGAGACGGAGGGTCGAATGCGGAGAATGCAGAGGAGCACCCCGCAGTCGAGGACGACGCTGGTCCCGTGCCCTTCCGCACTGCTCGTGCGGACACGCTGCCTCCGACCTACAACCCGGCGTGGGCGGACACGGGCTTCAATGCATCGGAAATCGGTCCTTTAGACACCTCATCCTCTAGCCCGATGCACGAGGAGTACAAGGCGCTCGCGTCCTCTGATCCCGGCTCTGGCACATCGCAAGGTGGAGTTGGGCTTCGTTCGGAGGCGCCGCCCCTCCCCCCTACGACCAAGTTCTGAGTTACGGGGACGATCTGTACAGTTAGAACGTTTTCGTTAGTAAAACTTCTCCATGTATCATTCTTTCACGCATACGGGAAGGCGGTCCTCCCAGTCAGTTCTCGCGACTTGGATGCCTGCGCAGCCGAAACCTGACGTCTGTGACACGTCCACACCGCTGTATGCCTTCCTCTGAACCCATGTAGAACATCCACCTGCTGTCAGCTAAACCTACATTCACAACAGCCGCACGAGAGTGGACGGAAGGTCGATCGCGACGAGGAAGGCGATCTCACTGCCTGCCGCGGATCTAGAAGCCGTCGATCATGCCGCACTGTCACCTTTAGTAGTTCAGCACGTCAAGCAGGACAGTCAAGGGCTGGGCTCTGCGCCGTCGTATCCCCGTAGCGCGGATCTTAGGCTCCCTGCTGATCAGGCTGAGTGGCCACAACGCACGGTCCAGCAGGAAGGAAGAAAACGGTCCCGTAGGATGGAAAAGTAGGGCGACGACGATCTCGCCATCTGTCTTCGTGAGTTGCATTACCGCGCCTCGACACCTCGTCTCAATATCAGTTTGTCAGCCCTGTGGTCCGCCACTGCATGTTCTCGTGTGCCATGGCTAGTATGTAGTAGTGTTCGTGACATCCCCCCCCCGCATGCAACGGCATGTCTTCCCTCGCGCATCTACAGTCTAGATCGCCTAATATCAGCTATGTCGGAGACAGAAGAGCTTACGCACACACTGCACAACTCTAGATCGACAAAGATGCCTGCCTGTCATCAGTTAATCTGCCGCACCGGCGGATTGATAGCACAGGGCCGCGCCTGCCGTCAGTTACCGTGCGGGGTCCGCTAACTAACAATCTCGAGACGTCTGTCGCCAGCTTGCTGTCGTCTCCTCAAGCTGTCTGCCTACCTGCTCTCACACTCCCTCCTACATCACAGGCTTAGGCGTGCTTGACGAACCTGCTGTCAGTTCCTGCTCTTTAGTACAACTCACGTAGCGTCAATCTGCTGCACCTGCGGCAGCGCGAGCATGACCTTTCTCCGGTATCCCGCCATGTCGTTCCTCTGACACGGGTTGCCCTCGAGATACACTGTCTCGAGGTTGGGCAGGCCGCCGAGTTCCTCGTGCAGATTGGCGAGGGACTCGATCTTGTTGTACGAGGCCCAGAACTCTTCGAGGTCCTTCAGGTGGGATACGTTCTCGATGGCCGTGATCTCGTTGTTGCCGATGTCGAGGGTGCGGAGCTTGGTCTGGGGATTAGCTAGGCTGACTACCGCAAAGCTGCAGAGGAGTAGAAGGAATGACCGGGCGAGCTCGAAGACAGCTTCAGAGCTCAGAGAAAGAGGATGAGGAGGAAAGTGATGAGCGAAGAAGGGAGCCGCCCAGAAGGCATGGAAGCCATGGAAGCCATGAAAAAGCGGGAGAATCACACACTCACGTTGTTCTCCAATCCCTCAATCTTCGTCAAACCATTGTGCGACAGATAAAGCTCCTCGAGATTCTTGAGCTCCTCAAGTCCCTCCATCTTTGTAATACGGTTAGACTGAATGCTCAGAATCTTGAGGTTCGCGAAGGCGTTGAGGTTCTGCCTGTCAGCTTTGCTCATCAGCGCTTCAGCTTCTCCATCATTTCATGTAGATGTCCGCCATCGCTCGCCCGTGCGAGCCTTGCCGAACCCACCTCGAGCCTGCGAATCTTGTTCTTGCCCAACCACAGCTCGTCGAGTAGCGTGAGCACCTCAATGTTCTCGATCGTGCGGATACGGTTCCCGCCAAGCTCGAGCGACGTGATCGTGTCCTTGCACCAGTCGAGGACTCCCGGCTCGATCGCCTTGATCTTGTTCTGGATTAGGTACAGGACCTTGACCTTGGTCAGGGAGGGGAGGTTGGGGATGTGCCGGATGTTGTTGAAGGAAAGGTCGAGCGAGCTGGGGTTAGCTTGAAATAGTCGATCACTAAGCTGGAACTGCCATGAGGGGGCAGAGGTAAGATGTCAGGGGGAAGAGCAAGGCGATGAGCGGGAAAGCCGAAATGTTGGAGAGGGAAGTTGATGATGGATAGTCGACTCACGTCATGCTCGGCATGCCCTTCACCTCCTCATCCTCAACCACCGGTCCGAGCCTGTTGTCGTACAGATCGAGCTCGTCCAGCTTGCCCAACTTCAGACACTCCTTCGGCAGTGGCGAGCTCAGTTCGTTCTGTCGGAGACACAGCCTCGTGAGTTCCGTAAACCTCGGAAGGTCGAGAGGAGGCAAGCTCTCATTCGTCAAGCGCAGGTGCTGGAGGTGCAGTTCCTCCGTGTCGTCGGGGTAGTCGGCGAGGAAGTTGTCCGTTGGCGCCTGCTCCCCAGAAGGGGCGTCCTCGGGCTCAGACTCCGAGTCGGACAGAGCGTGCACGGGCTCAGTGAGGATTTGCGGCGGGCCGACACGCGCGGTCTTCTTCTCTTCTTGGGTCATGCTGATTAACGGTTGTGATGTGTGAGTAATGAGGCTGAAGAGAGTTGGTGACCGTGACCGGGTGATTTTGGAGGAGGAAAGGAAGGAGGAAGGTCACCAAAGGCGATGACGAAACGCGTGCCTGAATCTTCGGTGGCGACTGCGGTTCGCCTCCACTGTACGCTGCACACTCAACCTCTGTCAACCACCTCGAGCAGCTGGTACAATGTATGCATGGTCTACAGTTCTACTATCAGATACGGGGTGACGCTGGCTGACGCAACGGCGTTATCGCTGTCATGCGTTCGCTACCCTAGATATCTCGCTCCACCCGCGTGACTCACGCGCCGACCGGTCCTCTACGTCTCTAGCCTGGTTCGCGTCGCTCACCGCCCGCCTACGCACTCATCTTCATCTCAATCTTGCCCATGGGCTTGTACCCCTCAACCTCGAAGTCGTCGAACTTAAACCCGTCGATGTCCTTGATCTCCTCGAGTGTGCGCTTGATCTTGAGCGTCGGGAACTCGCGCGGTTCGCGCTCAAGCTGTGTCTTGAGGCTGGATGTCAGCTCCAGGTGCGGCAAGGCAGCTGCCGTCTCCTTCGAACACAGAGAGAGCGGTGGAGGTCAACTTACGGCTCGACATGGTCCCGGTACACGTGCGCGTCGCCCATCTGCAGGATGAACTCGCGCGGCTCGCATCCCGTGACAAACGCAACCATGTGCGTGAGCAGAGCATACGAGGCAATGTTGAACGGCACGCCAAGTCCAACGTCACAAGAGCGCTGGTACATGAGGCAGGAGAGACCGGGCTTCTCGCCCTCAGACTCAGGGAGATGCACGAAGAACTGGCAGAACATGTGGCACGGCGGGAGCGCCATGAGCGGGAGGTCGGCCGGGTTCCATGCGCTCATGATGATCCGCCTGTCAGTCGGGTTCTCCTTGATCTTGCGAATGCACTCGGCGAGCTGGTCGACGCCCTGGCCCGTGTAGTCGTCCTCGCACGTCTTGTACGTGGCTCCAAAGTGGCGCCACTGGAAGCCGTACACCGGTCCGAGGTCGCCTTCCCTGCGGTGCGAAAGGCCGACGCGGTCGAGGAATTCGCGAGACGCGTTGCCGTCCCAGATTCCGATACCCTTCTCTTGGAGGACCTGGACGTTAGCTACAGTCTCCACTAAAGGCGGCAAAGCTTGGAAGTACACGAGGAAGACAAAGTATCGAGGGCAGGGCGGTGAGAGAGCAGGCCGGGGGAGAAATGTGGACGATAGCACAACGAAGAACGGGTGCGGATCGATAGGAGGAGTGGAGACAGAGTAGGGAGATAGAAGGAAGACTCACCTTGGCATCGGTGCACCCGTTAACGAACCAGAGCAGCTCCTCAGCAACTCCGCGCCAGAACACCCTCTTCGTCGTGAGCAGGGGCAGCTTGCCGTTCCTCAGGTCGAAGCGAAGGCTGGGCGGGGCGAAGAGCGCAATGGTGCCAGTCCCCGTACGGTCGGGGCGCGCCTGGCCGGTGGAGATGATGCGTGAGATGAGGTCGAGGTACTGGTACTCCTCTGCTTGTCAGCTCATATCCTCAACCGGTGTGAAGCAGCTGGGCAGGTGTCGGGAGGAGGAAGCAGGGGAAGTAGACTCACCGTGATCGGGGTTCGTGCGAGCGACCGTCATGTTGCGTCTTCAGAGATCGACGTAGCAGCGGAATGGAGAAGAGGAGTGAAGTCGGGGAGAGAAGATTGAGATCTGGAGATAGGCAACAAGCAGGGGTGAGTCAACCGCCTGTTGTGGAGGCAGTCGAGCGGACTGATTTTGGACGCGTCGTTCGAACGCGTCCGTCACGTGATTCGCAATGTTGACATCGCGCGTCATTATCCAGTCCAACCTCGGAACTCGGCTCAAGGAAGACGCTCGACATTGCATGGGTATAGCTGGCTATTTGCAGTCGATGTCGTTCTTAGGCTTCACTGAAGTGGGGGCTGCTGACTGCTAATTCAGCGCCCTCGCTACAGACTTGATGCCTGCATTCAATCATCCCGGCGCTCATTGCCCGCTTCGCTCACGCCGCGTGCGTGTCGATTACAGATGCATGCCTACGTTCTATCTAGTCCTCGTCCCAGTGGCCCTGCTGCTTGGGCGGGGCGATGCCGGCCTGCTTCGCGACGATGATGGAGTCGACGCGGAGCACGCTGATAGCCGCCTCGGTGGCGAGCTTGATGGCCCAGTCCTTGGCCGCATACGCGTCCAGGACGGTTCCCCTCGGGTCGTTCGTGTCCGTGACACGGCGGATGGCGGGCGGGTTCTCGGCATCAATGTCAACGCCGGCGTCGACCTCGTCGTTGCTGTGCGCGCCGTAGAGGGCGGCAACAACATCCTCGGCCGCCAGACCCGCGTTCTCGGCCAGCGTGCGCGGGACAACCTCCATGCTCTCGCCCCAGCGGCGGATGGCGTGCTGCGCAAGACCGGGCGTCTTGGCACCATAGTCCTGCACGCGGCGCGCGAGCTCGATCTCGCTCGCTCCGGCTCCGGGCACGAGACGGCCGTCACGGAGGAGGATGCGGACATTGTTGACACCGTCGTCGATGGAGCGCTCGAGGTCGTCGAGGTGGTTCGAGGTCGCTCCACGGAGCACAATGGTCGCCGTCCGCGTCTTCTCTCCCTGCTCCTGCCTGAAGACGGTCACGCGGTCGCCGCCGATCTCAATCGTCTCAAACACATCGATGAAGCCCGCCTCCTCCGGCGTCGGGGCTCCGAGACGCGCAAGGGGAGTAGCACCGAACACGCGGCACAGACGGCGCAGGTCAAACTTGGACAGGCACTTGACGACCGCGATTCCGAAGCGGTTGAAGTAGTGCAGCGCGAGGTCGCCGACACCCGATCCAGCAATGACGAGCTTGACGTCCGAGTCGGCGATCTCCGAGATGTATCCCTCCAGCTGTCGCTCCTCACCACGCGTAAAGTCGAGCAGGTCGTTGGCGTTCTTCAGCAGAACAGTGCCCTTCGTCTCGGTCTGCGAAATGTCCAGTCCACACGTGTAAACGGCCACCTTGGCCTTCTTCGCGCTCTTCACCGTACCCTCGGGCTCGCGGCCGAACACCATTCCACGCACAACTCGCGACTTGTCCAGGCTGCCTCCCATAATCTTGACGACACGAACAGAGTCGACGTTGAAGTCGCGCGGGTTCTTGGGCATGACCGTAAGCGCGGCCTCGGCGACGAGGTGCGACAGGAAGCGCTCAGAGCCGGGCTGCTTCGAGGCGAGCGACGGCGCAATGGCGGCAGCCAGCTGGTCAACGGTCGGAAGGGGCTGGTTCGGCATCGTCGACGTGACGAGTTCTGCTGTCAGCTACAAGATTCTAACCGCTGCAGCGAGACAGCTGAAGCATCATTACTCTATTCATGCAGCTGTACTCACTCTCGAGCTCCTCGCGTCCCTTCTCCAGCGCCATCTCGTATCCCTGAATAACCTCGCTCGGATGCAGTCCCATGGTGAGCAGGTGCTCCGCACGCTTCAGCAGCTCTCCGGCAAAGATCAGGACAAGGTTGGTGGCGTCTCCCATTTCCGCCTCCTGGGCCTGAGCGGCCATCACGAGCAGCTTGGCGGCGGGGTGCGCAACCTCAATCTCGCGGATGATCGTCGCGGCATCGTTGGTGACGAACAGACGGCCAAGGTGGTTGATGATAAGCTTGTTGCGTCCTGCGGTCAGCTACCTGGGGTTACAGTTGCTTGTAGCAGCCTCCTCAACTCACCGTTGGGACCGAAGCTCGTGCGCACGATTTCGCTGAGCTCTCCGGCAGCCGCGATATTCCGAAGAACAGACTCCTCGAGTCCGGACAGGTGCTGCGTGTTAGCTTCAGCCTACCGAAACGGAAGCTTCGGTGTCTGCATGTCTGAATAGGACCTTCCTCGCCGTCGAGGTGCCGATCGGAGAGCTGACGCATATCTCGACATGCCTTCGCCGATTTCGATCGTTCGCAGCTCGGCATAGCTCCGGACATGCACTTTTCAAGCACCGCAGCCAGCCAGTCGACAACCTACCTTGTACCCGGGCTTGAAGAGGTCGGGTCCCGACGCCTTGGGAACCTTGAGGGACATTTTGGTGTGTGTGTAGAGAGTACTTGGTGTCGGTTGTTCGTCGACTTTCAGGTGAGTGAGTGTGCGCAGTGACGCGACTGGAACCATCCATGCACGTGGCGCGGTGCCACATGCTGGCCAGGCGGGGTTAGTTGGATGTCTCCCACGGTCGCATTTGTTTACAAGTTGAGACCCCAGCCAAGGGTGTGATAAGGTAATGGCGTGTAAAGTTGATTGGCTTTCAGGGACGATGTACGCGTGTGATCTTGACTTGTTGGAACGTCACAACGACGGAGGTACGGAGGAGGACGGCGCAGCCCAGGCACGGGCTGGCCCATAAGCGCAGGGCACACCAAGGAGAGGTAGGTAATCAAAACAACAAAACAAGGCCCTGGGACACCGGCAGTCGACATTAACCCGCACCCAACATTACCACCCCCAACAAGTTCCTGTCCTTGTGATCGACATCCCACCAACACTCTGCATCACAACAACTTTCACATTGCATCGACAAACATCTCCGACTCACCATAACTCATCGATCTCACTGCCCAGAGACTAGCAGTGTGACTCTGCCCCCCGCCGATACTCACCCCGACTCCGTCATCGCTCACTGCTGTCTCTGGCTAGGCCATCCGGTAAACAAGGGGCTTGGCCCATCCCATCGAATCCTAGCGTCTGCACAAACCACCCCGTGCACCCACACTCCCCGTGCCGCCTCCCTCCTCAACCAAGCATGGACCCGACAAAGCTCTTTGGCAAAGTCAACAAGGATCTCGCAGTTGATGCCGCCGCACAGGCCGAGTTCAACGAGAAGAAGTAAGTGCTTTACACACACACACTCTGGCGCAGATCATGTTTTGCCCTTCTTCCTCCACTTGACGTAAACAACCATGCTGACGCAGCCACCTCTACCACCAAACCTCATCTTCAACCGTCCAATACACAAACAAACAAACCACCCCCCGTACGACGACGACGACCCGATGGCCGACGATAACAGGCGAGTCTGGATCCCCGATGCAACCGAGGGCTTCCTTGCCGGCTGGGTCAAGTCCGAGCCGTCCGCAGGCGATGCTGCTGCGGATGCGACGGCAGAGGTAGTCGTGTCGGCTACTGGTGAGATGCGCACAGTACCGACACACTCCCTCTCGCCCATGAACCCGCCCCAATTCGACGGCGTCGAGGACATCGCCGAGCTCACCCACCTCAACGAGGCCAGTGTTGTCAACAACTTGCGATCACGATATGGCGCAGGCAGCATCTACGTGAGTGACCTCTTCCGACACTGCTGACCATCAGAGCTACTCTGGGTATGTCCAACGCACCCGAACCTCCTAACCCGCAGTCTCTTCCTCATCTCCCTCAACCCCTACCGCCCCCTTCCGATCTACACTTCCACCATTGTCTCCCAATACCGATCAAAGCGGAGAGAAGAGAACCCTCCTCATATTTTTGCCGTCGCCGAGCGAGCTTGGCAGCAGATCGGCGAGGAGAGGGAGAGCCAGTCGATCCTGATTACGTGAGTTGTCTGACTAGCGCTGGAACTGACAATCAGTGGAGAGTCCGGTGCAGGCAAGACGGAGAACACGAAGAAGGTCATTCAGTACCTCGCCGCGATCGCCAACACGAATGAGCCGTCCAGCTCGGGAGCATCGGCGCCGCTCTCCGGCTTACCGCGATCGTCCAGCTTCAAGGGCCGGGCTGCCGAGGAGCTCTCTGTTGCTCCAAGGAGCGACGGCGAGCTCGGCCTGCTCGAGCGACAGATCCTGCAAGCGAACCCGATCCTCGAGTCGTTCGGTAACGCGCAGACGATGCGCAACAACAACTCGTCGCGTTTCGGAAAGTTCGTACGCATCTTCTTCTCGCCGTCCGGTGCCATCGCCGGAGCCAACATCGACTGGTATCTCCTGGAGAAGAGCCGTGTCACGCAGCGTGCTGCTGGCGAGCGCAACTTCCATGTCTTCTACCAGCTCCTGAAGGGAGCCAAGGAGGCTGGCTTTGCCGACCGCCTTCTGCTCACTGAGGGACCAGAGAAGTTTGACATTCTCAACAAGACGCGGCTCGAGATTGATGGTGTCGACGACCTGGCCGAGTGGCGCTTGCTGAAGGAGGCCCTCGACGTTGTCGGTTTCTCCGAGGAGGAGCAGTTCGAGCTCTTCCGCATCATCGCCATCATTCTGCACATCGGCAACATCGGCCTGACCGCGACCAACGCCGACCAGGCACTCATGCCACCAGAGTCCCAGCCTGTTGTTGAGAAGGTCTGCCACCTCCTCGGTATCTCGGACAAGGAGTTCATGAAGTCCGTTCTGGCTCCCAAAGTCCGTGCCGGTCGCGAGTGGGTCACGTACCCGCGATCCAAGAAGCAGGCTGAGGACGAGCTGGGCGCGCTGTCAAAGTTCATGTTTGAGCGCACCTTCGGTGGTATGGTCAGCCGCATCAACAAAGCTCTTGATCGCCCCAATGCCAAGTCGTGAGTTGAAATGGCTATCGCGCAAACTGACCGCAGGCTCTCCATCGGCGTCCTTGATATCGCTGGTTTCGAGATCTTTGAGGAGAACAGCTACGAGCAGCTGCTCATCAACTTCACCAACGAGAAGCTGCAGCAGTTCTTCAACTTCCACATGTTCACCCTTGAGCAGGAGGAATACACCCGCGAGGGTATCAAGTGGGATTATGTCAACTTTGGTCTCGACCTTCAGCCGACGATCGAGCTCATTGAGAGTGCTCAGCAGCCGGTCGGTATCATGTCCATGCTCGACGAGGAGTGCATCATGCCACGAGCTACAGACATCACCTTCAACGACAAGGTACAGGCTCTGTGGGAGCCGCCCAAGGGTAGCACGCAGGGTCCTCACCCCGGCAGCGCCAAGTTCAAGGCGACCCGCTTCAGCCGTGGTTTCGTCATCAAGCACTACGCCGGCGACGTCGAGTACGTCACCGAGGGCTGGCTGCAGAAGAACAAGGACCCGATCAACGATGCGACGGCCCGTCTCGCGTCGCAGTCGACCGTTCCTGCCATCAAGACGATGTTCCACGAGTACGCCGAGGACGCCACGACCGCGACCGCCGGCAAGCGCGTCAAGCGTGGTGCTTTCCGCACCGTCGGCCAGCGCCACAAGGAGCAGCTGAACCAGCTCATGAGCCAGCTTGCCAGCACGCAGCCTCACTTCGTCCGCTGTATCGTCCCGAACTCCGAGAAGAAGCCGGGTAAGGTCGAGGTCAATCTCGTGCTCGACCAGCTCCGCTGCAACGGTGTCATCGAAGGCATCCGTATTGCGCGTCTCGGATACCCGAACCGTCTGTCGTTCGCCGAGTTCCGCCAGCGCTACGAGGTCTTAGTGCCCGGCGTTGTCCCGCAAGGCTACATGGACGGTCGTAAGGCGGCTGGTCTCATTGCTGAGGCACTCGAGCTCGACCCCGACTTCTACGCCATCGGTGCCACCAAGATCTTTTTCAAGGCTGGCATCCTTGCCGAGCTTGAGGAGCGTCGCGACAACCTGCTGACCGACATTTTCCGTCGCTTCCAGTCCGCCGCGCGCATGCACATCTGCCGTCGACGCATCAACAAGCTGATCAACCGCGCGCAGGCTGTGCGCGCCATCCAGCGTAACGCTCGAGCCTACATCTCTCTTCGCGACTGGCCGTGGTGGTCGCTCTACGTCAAGGTCCGCCCGCTGCTCGCTGCTACCAAGGTCGACGACGAACTTTCCGTCAAGCGTGCGGAGCTTGCTATGATCAAGGAGCGAGCTGAGCGTGACGAGGCCGAGAAGAAGCGCCTTGAGGAGCTGAAGATCGCTCTCCTCTCCGAGAAGGAGAAAGTCGAGGCCGACCTGCTCGCCGAGCGCGACCTCGCCGTCGAGAAGGACGAGATGCTGAAGCGCGCCAAGGAGCACGAAGCGCAGCTCCAGGAGCGCGTCGCTGAGCTTGAAGCTGAGCTGGAGAAGGTCGAGACTGCCCGTAGCGAGGTCAGCGCGACCGGCGAGAAGCAACGGGACGCTCTCACCAAGCTGCAGCACAAGCACGACCAGCTCGCGCAGCAGATCAGCATGCTCGAGAAGAATGAGCTGTCGTGGCGCAACCGCGAGGCTGAACTTCTCCGCACCGCCAAGGACAGGACTGCCGCCCACACCAAGCTCGAAAACGACAAGCTCGCCGTCGAGCGTCAGCTCGAGGACCTCCGCCGAGACATTGGTACCAAGGACGAAGCGACACGACGAGCCGCCGACAAGAAGGCGTCTGAGATCTCTGAGCTCCAGAAGCTGCTTGCTGAGGAGAAGAAGAAGGTCGAGATGCACACGACCAAGGCTGAGTCGCTTCAGAAGGATCTGCAGTCTCGCGATGTCGCGTCCAAGGACCTGCAGGAGATGATCAAGGCCCATGAGGCGACGCTCATGGCCAAGTCGCAGGCTATTGCGGACCTCGAGGGCAAGCACAGCGCCTCTGTCAAGGCGCATGAGGCGACCGAGTCTGCCCGAGCCGCTCTGCAGACCAAGGCCGAGTCGCTTGCTTCTGAAATCGCCGCCCGCGACCGCCAGATTCAAAAGGACGCTGCTGAGCGCGCCACGCTCGAGAAGTCGCTCGACGAGCTCCGCAAGGTTATGGACGCCAAGGCAAACGAGGACGTCAAGCGTCGCGAAGTTGAGAAGAGCCGTGAGGCGGAGATGGCTAGCCTGCGTCAGCAGGTCGCGTCTCTGCACCAGTCGCAGGAGAAGCAGCGCGAGAACGCAATTGCCCTCGCCAACAAGCTGCGCGTCGACATTGATGCCCTGCGTCAGCGCCACTCGACTGCCGAGAAGAACCTCGCCGCCTCCAACGACGCTCTCAAGGCCAAGACATCCGAGGCCAAGAAGCTTGAGGCCGCTGCCGATGCGGCGCACAAGGCGAAGCGCGCCATCGAGACGGACCTGGAGCAGCTCAAGGCGCGCCTGCGCGCGACCGAGGGCAGCCTGAACGGCGCCAACTCGGAGGTCAAGAACCTCCAGGCGCGTCTGAAGGAGAAGGACCAGAAGTTTGCCGACCTCGAGGACGCCCTGTTACCGCTCGAGCACGAGCGGCAGGTCCTCCGGAAGCGTCTGGACGAGACGTCGACGCACCTGGCCAAGGAGATTGCCACCCGCCAAGCGCTTGAGAAGTCCCTCTCTGAGCACCAAGAGGAGATCGCCAACCACCGCAACGAGCTCACGCAGTTCGAGCGCGAACTCGCCCAGGCCGCCGCGGACATCAAGGCGCGCGACGACGAGGTTGCCTTAATGCGCAGCCGGGAGAACAAGACGATCGTGGAGCACGTGCACGTCCTCGAGTCGGCGAAGAAGATGACGGACCGCCAGCTCGTGGAGCAGGTCAGCGAGAACAAGAAGCTGAACCAGATCCTGAAGAGCATGGAAACACACCGGAACCGTCTCCAGGCTGACCTCGAGGATCTGCAGCGTTCGCACGACATGCTGAAGAAGGAGCGGAGTCGCGAGGCGCGTGCCGGTCGCGCCTCCCTCGGGCCGGCAGACGTCACCTCTGCCGTGCTCGAAGAGGAACGCAAGGCGCGCGCGGCGGCCGAGGCCAAGGCAGCCTCCCTCGAGCGCGACCTCGCCGACATCAAGCGGCGCCAGTCCACGGCCCCTCTCAACCCTCTGTCGCCAAAACGCTCCGTCTCCTCCAGCTCCGAGGGCAAACTCGCCCGGGCGCTGGACGAGATCACGCGGCTGCAGAAGAGCCTCGACGCCGTCTCGCACGAAAATAGGCGTCTCGGCTCCGAACTCGCGTCAAGTCGGCAGAAGAACGACCTCCTGCAGCAGCTGCAGCAGAGCCACGACGCGCTCGGTCGAGACATGAGCGACCAGCTGAAGCGGCTCGACTCGAGTGCTCTGGGCGGACCGAGGCGGCAGGCCAATGGCCACGGCCATGGACACGCGCAGCAGGCGAGCATGGGCAGCAAACCGGCCTTTATCCGCTAGCAGCGGGCGAGTCGGGGCGAGGCGACAGGATAAGATTGTAGTGGACTCTTTGCTTGACACAAATATGTATTGTACATGAACGAAGGATACAAACTACGAGGGGGCAAGTGTACAAGAGACGAGGGAGGGCTACAACGGAGAAACCATGGAGAGGGGTTTATGACTGAGGCTCAGACTTGACTTTCCGCTTGGAAGCTCGGTTACGAGTCCGCCTGGCGACGGGCTGCCGGACTCCGTTCTGCGGTTCGTTCTGCGGTTCGTCTAACAGCCTGTTTCGCACTGGCACCTCCGCTACTCCGGCCTCTTCAACCGCCTCAGCCGGAACAGTGGGGATAGTCGAGACAGAAGCAGTAGGCTCAGGAGCAGGGAAACGCGCAGGCTTGGTCCTGGTCCGAGTTCTCCTCGGCTGAGGCTCAGGCTCAGGTTTCGAGGCCTTGGTCGAGGTGCTCGCTGAGCGGACGGGCTGAGACGGCTCGGTGCGCTGAGGCGGCTCGGCAGGCTGAGACGGCTTGGTGGGTTCAGACTGCTCGGCGAGGGGAGGCAGGATACTCGACGGCGATGGAGGTGGGGAAGAGAGAGGGGAAGGTTCGGCGGGTTGAGGCTGGGGTTTCTTTCGCGGCTTCTGTGCCTTGCGCGCCTTGCGTGTTTTTGCGGGAGCCTTGGACACGGTGCACTCTGTAGCCTCAGCATTCGGCTCTGCGGGCTTACAGGACTCAGAAGGCTGGGTAGACACAGTGGTTGTTGTGGGATCTGTATCGGCAGGCTTAGCAGGCTCAGCAGGCCCAGGCGGCTCAGGCGGCTCAGCGGGCGCAGCAGGCGCATCAGTGTCAAGAGACTCAACAGGCTCGACCGGTTTCGTCTTGGCTGCCTTCTTCCTGCGACGAGGCCAGCGGGGCTTACGAGTGGGCTTGGGCGCACTCTGGCCCATGCCCGAATTCTCAGGTGAGATGGGTTCAGCCTTCACCTCTGCATCTCCGCTTTCCGCCACCGTGTCCTTCCCGTCCCTCTCAACCTCTCCTTCCTCCCCGTCCTTCGAACCGTTCTTGTCCTTCACGCCGTTCGCATCGTTTTCTTCCTTCTCGTCCCTCGAGCCGTTCTCGTCCTTCACACCGTTCTCGTGCTTCTCGTGCTTCTCGTCCTTCCCGTCCTTCCCGTCCTTCCCGTCCTTCTCGCAGTCCTTGTCCTCGACATCAGGCTTGATCTCGGTCTGGGAGTCAACCGCCAACTGACCCACGCTGACAGTTGCCGGTTCCTCGGCCCCGCTGTGGCCCGATTGCCCCGCCGCCGCAACCGGTGATTCTGCTTGATGCCCAGGAACACTGTCCTGCTGGGGAGACAGGTCGAAGAGGTATCGGATACAGGCAACTGCTCGTCAGCGCAGAGAGCGCCGGAAGACGCACCGATGAGATCCACGCCGTTTGCTGCTTCAGTGTAGTGCGCCAGGGATTCATCCCACGAGCTCCCTGTTGAGGCGCTGTGATGGGCTACGCAGATATAGTCTGCGTGTCAGCCATGTCTCTGGCGGTCGATGGGCCTAACTCACCGATCTCGGTCAATTCTCTGGTATCTGCCGACGGAGGGGATCCGTGCTCTGTCATTTCGACGTCTTCAAGTCGATGGGGATGGTTATGTGAAGCAAGCAAAAGGAGTATAAGAAGACGAGAGAGGATGAAGAGAAGAACGAAAAGAGCATCTGGGTGTTCATGTACGCTGGGGTCATGCGTGGACGCTGCGGAGTGCGGAGTGCGGAGTGCTGAGTGACTGTGCACTACGCTCGCTTGCCCAGCGCGAGCACCGAGAGCGTAGTCTACAGTACACGGCCTTCGCACCCTCGCGTCGCTGCGCAGTATGCATCCCCGCATCCCCGCAGCTCATCACTCCCGCAATGACGCACCAAAGCGTAGCCGCACCACAACATCACCGCCCCACCTCGTCTTGTCCTCCGCAGGTGCCACAGTCACGTACGCGTCAAACCCATGAGCGTACCGTGTCCATGGTTCAATGGACCATGCACGAGGAGTAATTGAGAGGTGTATGCATTCCCCTACGATCTATGTACAATTGCCAGCATGGGCTTCGTTTTACCGTCGTGTTTCGGTTTCGTTTTGGCTTCTTCTTCATCTAGTTGTTCTTGTGCATCAGACTTTGGCCCTTGTTGCCCAGCAGCGTGCTAACGCATGCGTCCCTACTTGGAGGGAACGTAAGCCTCGTTGCGGGTGTGCAGGCCCTGCTCGAGCTCCAGCAGGATGTAGTGGTCTTTGCCCGTTAGTGAGGTAATTGAGGCGGTGGGGCTCACAGGCATTCTCGTAGTCCTTGTTGGAGACGAAATAGGCGTGCTCGGCCAGGGGATAGTGGCAGCCCGTCACGCGGGTAAGGGCCTTGATCATGTGGACATCTGGTGTTAGTAGGCACCGAAGAAAAGGCTCGGAAGGGAGGGTATTCTTCGCTGCGCTTTTGGGTCTAAGGTGATTGAGAGTGGCTTGATGGCGGAGCTCGGAAGGCATAACTCACCATAGGCAGTTGGCTGGCCATAGTACGACTCGCGCCAGGGCACGCTCTCGTCGCGGTAGGGCTTGTTGGTCTGAGTGTACATGTTGGCTAGAGTGTTGGGCTGATGAGCGAATGCTGCAATTGGCAACTTTTGGGTATTGATGTTGGAATCCCAAGAACTGCCCTTCTTAAGTACCTCTCAGACCAGCCCTTCTCGAACGAGTCGGACGAGACCGGGCGCCGAAAAGGGCGGAGGTATCTGGTATCGGAATGGCGTGCTGTTTCTGATATCTCCCCGGTGCGCCCTCTTCGCACACTCTCACGTTAACACTCTGTGTTCTGCGGGACAATGGGACGGGACATCAGTGAAGTGTGCCAAGGAGTGTGGAAGGACGTGTGTGGCGCGTCGCACTCATTTTGCGCTATTTTTCGCACCTTTCCGTGCCTTCCACCTCGCCCTCCACACGTCCTTCTTCGGACCGAGAGCTCCGTGACGTCGCACGCTGCGACCTTTCCTTCCGTCAATGCCTCCACTCATATACACAACTACACGTGCAAGTGGGTCTGGACCATGGTGGACAACTGAGCTGCATTCAGCGGCCGTGGAAGGTTGCAGCCTGCGGTGTCCATGTGGATCGGGCGACGCTCGATGTTGGTGGTCCTGCGTGAATGCACTGCCAATGGCGACGGCTCTCTCCCGCTGGCTAGCATGAAACATTGTCTTTGGGCAGCTGAGCTTCCGATACATAAATACAACATGTGATTGCCCACAACGGTCTACGACGACCTGGAGATCCCGGCGCTACCAGCGCTACCAACGCTCTCAGGGTTCTCGTCCTTCTTGTGCGGCACAGGGTATCCAACACCAGTCCTGTCGGCGGTGTACTCCGCAATCTCGAGCTGTTCCTCGAGCAGGTTGGGGTTGATCTTGTCGCGCTCCGCCTTGGCAGTGCGGAACTCCTCTTCGAGCTTGGCCCTCTCGCGCAGCTTCCTCTCCTTGATTTGATTCAGCTGCGTCTCACCCTCTTCCTCGTCCTCGCGACGTTTGTGGATGTACTCGGCTGGGTGTCAGTGACAGCTCAAAGAGTCAAACAAACCCGATTCGGCCATTTTGCGGCCGCAAGCGAAGTAGGCTAACACGGCTTCCTCCCAGGTGCAACCGGTTTCGAGGACGAGCACGCCGATCCAATGATTGTCTGCTGTCAGTGGGAGTCGTAGTATAAAAAGGGTGTAAGGAGAGTGGTCCCAGATCTAGGGCAGGGTTTCACCTTTCAACGCTATCCAAGTGGAGATGAACTCACCGACATCGGTCGTGTGCGCGAAGAAGCGGAAGTTGAAGTTGTAGTTGGGCATCGTGAAGAAGTCGCTTCTCGATTAGCGACGAGAGTTGGTGAGAAGGTGTGATCAAAGACCTATCCCACTTTGTAAACGTGTCGCCTGCCCCCCATTCAGATGAGTGTGTGCTTCGTCCAGTACCTCTCAGACTACTGCGAGCAGCGTCGCACCGCGCACGGGATGCAGGGAAGTGAAGCTGGTGGGCGAAGGGATGCCACTCGCACCAAATGTGTGTGGTGGGGGCGGGAGGAGCGACAGCAACTTCGAGAAAACCGTTCCATAAAGAGCGCAGACATTGAAACACGCCCAAAGTGGCCTCTGCTTCTCGATGCTGTGGGAGAAGCGGACGGCGCGGTCCCACGTAAATAGTGCCTCTGTGCGATACACACATCTGAATCGCCAAGTGTTATGAGCCGTCCGACGAATGTAGCTTTGCTGGCTTCTAGTACAACCCAGTATACATCCAATTCTACACTACTGTTACACCCCCTCCAGCCCGCTCCCCCGGCCCCCATCCCGGGCCCTTTCATCTTCTATTTCTCTACTGGGTCTACGAAACTTGTTCATCGGGATATGGAAGTCCCGGAAGGTTGGCGGACCTGACCCTCAGGACCCGGAAGTCCCGTTAGCCAGGCGGCGACGCATGGCTACATGCGGTCCTCGAGCCAAGCCACTGGCAGTCAGCTCCATCGAAAGACGCCAACTCACTGGCAATGACCATGTCGCCCTCGGCCTCGAAGTAGGCCTGGTAAGCCATCTCCCACGAGCAGCCGTACTGCTCGACGAGGTCCTGGATGTTGGCGAGGTCTGCAGGGTTAGCGCTTCCAACGCGGCACCGTGTGTGGCGTTGAGGCTGGGAAAGGCCACTCACCGAGGTCGTCAACGTCGTTCAGCATGTAGACGGAGGACATCTTGAGTTATTTGCTAAGGCGATTGAGCAGTTGAGGTGGGAGTTGGTGAGGGATGAGAGTCGAGAGAGTGTTGTTGAGGATGGAGAAGAAGAGAGTGTGCGAGTACGCGTTCTTATACACGTCTCAACGAGCACGCCGCGAGCGTTGATGGACAGCGTTGCACCCTCGCCCGAAGCGCACTCAGCGCTTTTCCTCGCCTTGGAAGGTGCTAGGATGAGAAGATGGTGCGAAATGCGTGTAGCCAAAGGGCGCATGTTCATCAGCAACCCGAGAGGACCCGAGCCTTGGGCTGCTCTGATGGACAAAGAGGGTTTGGACACACACACAGCAGGCAGGAGGTACGGATGGTGATTTCCAAAACGGGAGAGCCACCGAGTTCGAGTCAGAGCGTAGACTCGGACGGGGTGCTCGTTGCATTCCAAGCCCAACCGATGGAGAGGTATATACACAAGGTGTCCTGCGGGAGAAGAGTCCTAGCCTGGGAGACGAGTAGGTTAGAAACTCGCGAAATTCCTGCAATATTTGGAAACTCATGTTCATCTCAGAACTTCGGGTCATCAAGACTTTCAGTATTCTTGGGAGCTACCGCAATACCAGCATGGACCATCGAGAGCTGCAGAGACGCGAATCTGCGTGAGCAGAGGTGCGGTCACCAGCCCCGCGGGGGCGCAGTCGTCAGCAATAGCATCTCAGAGGATGTGGCTCAGCGGTAGAAGCGGCGGATTGCAATTACGCAACCATCCGTAGGTCCCCGGTTCGATCCCGGGCATTCTCTCGTTTTTGAGATTCGTCCGGGTCGTTCGGACAGTTTTCGGTCGATTCTTTTCCCAGTGGGGCTCGGAAGGCGGCCGATGGCCGATGCGGGCCGTTTTGCTGTTGCCGGCGGCAGCGGCACGTTCTTTCTCAGGCTGACGCTGGCTGGCCTCTGGGCGTGCGCCGACTGCGCGGAACATTTCAGCCACCGCCAGGGAAGAGCGACTCACCCCTCTATGCTCCACGGCGCGTTCCCGCGGCATGGCGCGGCAGGCGGCGGCGAGTTTGCGACACCGCAACTCTGCGTCGACTCGGTTAGTCATCGGTGTCCTAAAAGTTCGCGTCTCTCTCCTCCACACCAACACTCAACAACAACATGACGATTCATCAAGTGGACAACCCTCCCGTCGCCGGCACCGAGTCCGGCGGCCCCAAGACTGCGCCGCCGCTCTACGTCCCGGAACGCAAGTTCGAGTACAACATCGTCCCCGGCTTCTTCCTGCAGGACAACGGCGACAAGAATGTCGAGTTCGAGACGGATATTGTGAGCGTCAATGGAGTGGAGAGGAGCACGCCTGAAGAGACCTAAACTGACGTCTAGCGCGATAAGAGCTTCGGCATGCTCGACCAGAGTCCGGAACGCTGGGCCAACTTCCAACGTCGTGTCGAGGAGCTGCAGGCGACAGCGCCGCCAGGCGTGCAGTACAAGGTCTTCTTCCTCGGACGACACGGACAGGGCTGGCACAACTTCTGCAGCGACAAGTACGGCGTTGAGGTGAGTCACCCTTCTGTGCCCCCGTTGTCTCATCTTCTGCGACCACACTGCCTTCTGTTCCTTCGGCCTTTGCTCCGTCGCCCCATGTTCCTTCTTTTATTCTTGGAAGCATGAGGGCCCAATGAAGGCCGCAAAGTAGAATGATCCCCGCTGACAGCAGAAATGGGAGTCCGAGATGGCATTCGTCAACGGCGACGGCGAGTTCACGTGGGGTCCGGATCCCTCTTTGACACCGCTGGGTCACGACCAGACTAAGGCCGTCGGCGCGGCGTGGAAGCGTGAGGCAGCCGCCGGAGCGCCAGTCGACAAGATCCGATTCTTCACCTCGCCGCTGCAGAGGACGTGTCAGACCATGATCAACTCGTGGGGCGACATGCTCGGCCCGCCGGAGACTTGGGAGGTGAGTTCTCTGCGCCGAGCATAGCGAGAGGGAGGGTGCAAGTGGCGTGTGCACGTCCTGGGTGCCGAGTGAGCTGACAGCCAGGACTTTAGGGAGATTTACGGCTCGCACACGTGCGACAAGCGCTCGCCGGCACGAACGATCCGCGAACGCTTCCCCATGGTCAAGATCGAGCCCGGGTTTACAGAGGAGGACGAGCTCTGGCTCCCGGACGACCGAGAGACGGACGCACACATGCAGCTCCGCGCGCGCAGATACATGGACCGCATTTTCGCGGGCGAGGCACCTGAGACTTGTGAGTGGAGGGGATGTGAGTGATGGAGCAGCGCTGACAGACCAGACATTTCCATCACCGGTCACGGCGCCATCTTCCGTAACCTTCTCGTTGTGCTGGGCCACAAGCCGTGGCCGCTGAGCACGGGCGAGATGATTCCGGTGGTGGTTAAGGCGACGCGTAACTCGCAAACCAACGGAGACCTCAAGAACTGAGCGGTGCGGTGCCCTCCGCACACACGAGTTTGTCAATGTCGAGCCGATAGAGCTACAGTGCGGCGACGATGTAATCATCTTTGAGAAGAACGCGGCATCTCAAAACTGACTGACAGACGATGGGAACAGTTCGGCAAGACATAGTGACCATCGACTTCTTCCTTGCATGACTACTACTTTGCTATACACATACACAAGACCTCATTCCATTACTGCTTACGTGCGCTTGGTGACGGGAACGTCGACACCCTCGTTGTAGATGTCGCGGGCCTTCTCAGTAGCGACGCGGGCCTGTGGTGGTCAGTCAAGTCTCCCATGTGGACGTCAGGGCCCGTGCAAGACCGAGGTGATAGGGCAATGACCGAGGTGGAGGGCAACGCGACTGGAGGCAAGGCAACACGGGTGGATTGGAAAGGAAAGGCTCGACGCAACGCAGGGATGGAAGGCGCAGGGAGGCGACTCCAGGCTTCAGGCTCAGGCAAGATGTTCATTGTCTTCTGCTGTTTCTTCTGTTTATTGTCGTCTCCGCCTGAGACCTGTACCGACTGTTCAAGATGGGGTTTTGGGGGGATAAGGAGGGAAGTGGTCCATTGGAGTCGCCGGGGTAATCCAAGAAAGGCAAGAAAGGGGAGAGACGGGCCGGACGCCCAGCAGCTCGACAAGCAATCTGCCGGGCCGAGAAGCCAGCAGCTCACTTGCGAGCACCAGAGATCTTGTCCTCGACCTTGTCTCCGAGCTCGTGCGCCTTCGCGCTCGCGTTGTCGATACCCTGCTTAGCCGCTGTGCGGGCGTTCTCGATGCCCGCGTGCGCGTTGGCCTTTGCGTCCTCCCATCCCTGCTGGACGTTGGCCTTAGCCGTGTTCCACCCCTTCTCGGCGTCGGCGCGGGCCTGGTCCGCGTTGGCCTTTGCGTTGGCCTTGGCATTGTCCCAGCCCGACTCGGCATTGGCCTTTGCGTTGTTCCAGCCCTGCTCGGCGTCGGCGCGCGCCTGCGACGCATTCGCCTTGGCCTCGTTCCAGCCTTTCTGAGCATCGGCGTGCGCCTGGGCGGCCTTGCTCTTCGCCTCCTCGACGCCCTGCGCCGCCTGCGAGCCCGCGCGTCCCGCAGCGTCCTTCACCCGGTCAAGGCCCTGCTGCACCTTGCCCTCGGCCCAACTCACGTCGTCCTTGGCCACCTGCTTCGCGTCCTTGTACGCGTCCTTGATGTCCTGGTTCACGCGGTGCTGCTGGATCTCCTGCTTGCCGCCAGACTTGTACCAGTAGTACAGGCCAGCAGCGGCGACGACACCACCGGCAATGATGAGGGGGGTGTCTGAGGTCAGCTTGGTTCAGATTGTGGCGTTTGCGCCCTGCGCCAGTGATCTGCAAGGATCTGCGCCCGATGTGGCTTCGGCTTCGCGAACGGCTTCGTCTGTGAACTGCGGGTCGAACACGAAGCAGAGCAGCTCACGGTGCACTCCGCGCCAATGCGGGCGCTGTTTGCGCCGCCTTGCGGCGTTCACGATACTCACTGTCCTTCTTTCCGCCGGAGGGGCCACCTCCGGGAGCTCCGGAGGGAGCCGAGTGGGGGGGAACGGCACCGCCGGGGGTGCCGGGGGCAGCGTAGCCGCGGGAGTTCTGTCTATCAGCGTGTGTCCACCACCGTCTGCCCAGCCTTCAATTGTCCCCATTCCTGCTCTAGCTTCGCAGTGTAGAGCAGCGGCAGAGCTCCTCCGGCTCGCCCCGGGAGGCAGGAAAAACAAAACCCCTCCTCTCAACCTCGCTCCGCTCCGCCTCGTTTTGCTCGATACTCACGCGGATGGCGCGCGGGGCAGCGCGGCGAACAACAGGAGCGAAAGCGCGGGTGGCGAACATGATTCCTTAGGTGCTGAACTCGGATACGAGGAGTGGAGAGTAGATGTAAAACAAGAGGTAGGTGCATATATACAGCATCATCGGACGGATACATGCTTCCGTAGGAGGGAACGCAAGGGGGAGAGGCCCCATTACCTCGGTGCTTGGGAAGACCGAGAGGATGGCATGGCCTCGGTCCTGGTGCTAGCTGGTCAGTGGATGGAGGGATGATGACATCACCGCTTCGTTCAATCTGTCGCAGTGGTGTGAACCGACGGAATGTGCTGGATGCTGACTTCCTACGCTCTCCGCGACCCGTCATAGAGCCTTGCTCTGCTCTACGACGGGGTAGCGGGACAATCTCGTGCCTACGAACTGACGTACTTTGTCTCGACGCATGTGCATGACGGGGTGGTCAGCCAGATCTCCCCCTCATGCCCCTCTGCACTCTTTCTCCCGGTCGCCCCCTCTCGCAGAATCCGACATTCTGGAGCCGGCGTTCCTGATCCTGACCTCCAGCTCTCCGTCAAAGCCTCCGTCGACCGGAAGCAGACATCGGAGGTGCAGAGAGCAGAGGAGTGAAACGGAAACCGGCAAACACGAGGTTTCATGAAATGGGCTTGGGGTGGTATCTGATAAACGTTCATTCCCGGCGGCAGTAGCGGCAATGGCGGCTGTTGACTTGGGTGTGACGGGCGGGTGACTGCCCATTGACCTTACACCTGCTTCCTGCATGGCGCTGAATTGAACCCACACACTGTGACGAGCGCTGTTATCTGCGGCTTTCGCCGTCACCCTTTGCGGTTTTGACGGGATTGGCGTTGTTGCCACCCGAACGCCAAAGCCCAAGCCCACGCCAAAGCGTGGCCATGTCCGAAACGGAGGCGGCGGCCGTTGCGCTTTTGCACCTTTGGGTGCTTTGTGCTGGCGGGCTGTTTGGCGTTTTAGGGGTGCAACGTCGCGCTGTGACAATGCTAAGCGAGTTGTCAGCTGGTCTTAGCGCCGGGAAGGCACCTTGGGGCAGACAGTGCGCTCAGCTACACTCTTTGTTTCCACAGTTGCGCTCTTCTTTGGTCTCAACTCTCCACACTCTCCATCACGTCTCGTACTCCAGATTAAGCATTCAGCAGCAACCCCTCCGCCCTCCTTTGTGCGGAGCAACTTGAACGTCGAGCGCACCGAACTCCGCCCATCTCCCTGCCCTGCTCGGCTATTCGCCTCCCGATCACGTGACTGTTGATCGCCCAGCGCCGCGCTCGGAAGTCGACTTCCGATCATCTCCGAAGATTAACTCGGACTCTTTCCGCCCAGTGGCCAGCGCGCGCACTTGCACCCAAAGATCTAACACACGGTCCGGAGCGCGACGAGCGAGTGAGCGAGTGAGAGCTCGTCGTGCCAGTGAGTACCCGCTTCACAGCTCGCGCGACTCGTTTCGATACCTCTTGTTGACACTTGCGCGTTGCCCCAGACTTTTATCTTTTCCCGTACCTGAACGCCCCTCGCTGCCTTTCGTCGGCCGCTCGACTTTTTTCGATCATCGATCACCACTCTCTGTCTTCCACTCTCTCCACGACCAGAGTTCGATATCCTCAGCAACGCAAGGTTAGACGATCTTGACGGCCCGCGCCGACCGCGCATCGACCCCCTATCCCCACTCCCACTCCCACTTCCCCTTCTCTCACCTCGCCCCCTCCAGCTCGACCGACGAGCTCACCGCAGACGTCCAGACGTCTAACAGCGTAGACGACCATGGACGCGAAGTCGACCCCCGTCGCGGCCGCCGCCGGCATCCCCACCCCCATCACGCCGTCGCATCAACTGCCCGTGGACCATGAGGAGCCTGAGCTTACAGTCTGGGAGCGGCTAGCGGACCGCGTGCACGAGAATCAAGCCGTGATCAACACCTTCATCGCTGGTGGTCTTGCCGGCGCTGCGTCCCGAACAGTCGTATCCCCGTTAGAACGACTAAAGATCATTCTCCAGGTTCAGAGCTCCAAACCGGGAGGCTCGGGAGAGGCGTACGATGGCGTGTGGAAGAGTCTGGTCCGCATGTGGAAAGATGAGGGCTTCAAGGGCTTCATGAAGGGAAATGGGATCAACGTCATTCGAGTGAGTACGGTCGTGTGAGCGGCGCAGATAGGTGTGAAGGGTGAGGAGCGCCGGGGAATAGGGAGCGAGGGATTGCCATTGAGGACCAGCGAGGAAGTGCGATGGGCAGCTCCGACGCGCACCGAGTTACAGGACTGCGGTTGGTGTGAGCGCGATGTCTGACCGCGATGTCTGAGACATCGGGCCCGAAGATATCGTCGATGCCTCCGCAGCTACCGTCTGGAGCGTGGAACTGGCCCAATGTTTCTCCCTCAGCTGTGCATCTCGTCCGCCTGTGCCTGTCCTCGGTCCCCTAAATCGCACCGGTGGATATCCCGCACCGGTGGATATCCCGCAGACACAGCTAAGATGCCTTTCAGGACCCAGCTGACCCCAGATCCTGCCCTACTCCGCGCTCCAATTCTCCTCGTACGGCATCTTCAAGACGCTCCTGCGCAACTGGTCCGGACAAGAGGAGCTGTCCTCCTTCCTGCGCCTAACGGCAGGCGCGGGTGCCGGTATCGTGGCTGTCGTGGCAACCTACCCTCTCGACTTGGTGCGCGCGCGTCTCTCCATCGCGACGGCGAACATGGCGCAAACGGGTGCCGGAGCAGCCTTCAGTGCCCAGGACGCCAAGCTCGGAATTGCGGGCATGACGAAAAAGGTGTACCAGACAGAAGGCGGTCTGCGGGGCCTCTACAGGGGATGCTGGGCGACGGCAATCGGCGTGGCGCCCTATGTCTCGCTCAACTTCTACATGTACGAGAACCTGAAGCACGTCCTGATGCCGCCAGACCACGAGATGGGCGAGGCCGAGTTTGCGATCCGCAAGCTGACCTGCGGCGGTCTCGCCGGTGCCATTTCCCTCCTCTTCACGCATCCGTTCGACGTTCTCCGGAGAAAGATGCAGGTCGCTGGACTCCAAGCTCTCAGTCCGCAGTACAACGGCGCCATCGACGCGATGCGGCAGACGATCAAGGCCGACGGATTCTGGAAGGGCATGTACCGTGGCCTCGTCCCGAATATGATCAAGATCGTGCCGAGTATGGCCGTGTCGTTCTACACTTTCGACACGGTGCATGACGCGCTCAACCGGTGGCAGCACATCGATGAGGACGAGTACGCCTAACCTTGAGCCTCAGCTTGAGGCAGAGCTGTATTCGCCACCGCCAGAATCCGGCACACACGAGCATGGCACGGCGTCTGCTCCTACGCGCTTTCAACGGACAGATACCGGAGGGTAGGGAGCGACAAGGCGCGTTTCAGCTTGTGATCGGCGCGGAGGCGAGGAGAGCAAGGATGGGGGGG